CAGGTGTGAATTTCACAGTTAACCACTAGAAGAAACATGGTTACAGGTAAGCAACCTTACTTTCTTGATGTTGATTTTGTAATTTGACAACAGCAACAACCAATCCTGGCATGATATTAATACATTCCTATTTGGGAGTTTACACAAGAAGTTAGTTTAGAGCCAAAGTACACCTGAAGATACACCTCAGTGGTCATTCTATTCATCTTAGGCCAGGTGAAGCAGACTCTGGTTTGCGGGGGAGGGGGGGTTAACTCTGTGAAGTTGACAATATTGGGCACAGGAAATTAATACATGCTCCCTTTCCAGTAAACAAGTGTTGAGAATATTCACCAGGTTTACTAAAGGCCAGTTGTTGTTTTATTTTTTTTTAAAAAAAGAAACAAATCAGCACTTTTTAGAACTAGGAATTATTATCTAAGGCTCCAGGGCATAGTCTAAGCTCTTGAAAGGAGGCTGAAGAATTCAGAAAGTTATCCAGAATAGGTTCAGACTTACAGGGCCAATGACTTTTCACTGTATTTGTGGGCAGATTTCAGCCAGCCATCCTGTTTATGACAACAGAGGATTTGAATAACTTACAGTTTCATGTGGGTTCTATGAATGATGTCTTTACCATTTTCTTTGTTAATTTTAAGGCTATTTTTTAAAAAGATGATATAGTACATGATGCAGGGACATCCCTTAAAACTAGATACACAGCAGGGTTTCTCCTGTTGCTGACCAGGTGAGGATCACAATAGGAAGAGAATTGTAGCACAAAATTCTGACCTCTACTTGCACTTGGGGACCTGCCCCCACTTCTACAAGGGTTTTTTCTGCCCCGCCCCCAGCCCCCCAAGTCCGGCTTACAAATTGTTTTTAAAAGTTTTTAAGGGAAAAGGCAGTGGTTGAGAGTATGGTAGGGAAGAAGCAAAGACTAAATAGGATAACAAAAATAGGGCAAAAACAGGAAAATAGAAAAAGTCTGAAGATGGGAGGGATTTAAAAAAAAGAAAATGATCAAAATTAAGATTAGGGGGAAACCCAGGGAGCAGACAAAGCAAAAAAGCACTTCTGAAAGAACATCAGGGGAAAACGAGAAAGGATATAGCAGCCCATGCTATAGTTTTATCCTAACCCAGACAGCAGGGGATAACCCAAATCCAGGGTGTGTCTTTTACTCTATACAAAAAAATTAAACACGAGTTAGTGCCAGTCAGACCTCTACGGCAATAATAATAATAATCATCATCATCCTGATTTGTACCCTGCCACCATTTCCCCAAAGGAACTTTGGGCGGCTCACAGAAGCACTCCCAAGTGCCACATGCAGACAACAGTACATAAGTATAAATACAATACGGCAAGGGTCTTCCACATCCAGGACACCACAGCAGAGAAGACCCTCTCCAACATACTTGCACTGTTTTGCCTTCACTGATAGGACACAGTCCCTCCAGCAGATCTCAAGCCAGCATAAGGGGAGACAGTCCTTTATGTATTGAGGTTCCAAGATATTGAGTCAGCAGTACAACCACTTAAAAGGTAACACAGCCTATTTGCTATCAAAATAGGCATTGTTGTTTTGTGTCTTCAACTAAGTTCTTACTTAAAGAAACCCTAAGGTGAACCTATCATGGGGTTTTCTGAGGGTCAGAGAGAGTGATGCACCAAAGGTTATCCAGTGGGTTTACTTGACCATGCAGGGAATGAAATCCCAATCTGAGTCATAGTCCAGCACTCAAACCACTACACATCACTGGCTCTGGTTGGTTAATGAAGCCTGTGGAATGAGGACAAAGAAGCACATCTTTTTTTATTTTGAAAGACCAGTTCAATTGAAACCACCACCCCGCCACCATTCCTTGAAAGACACAACCTCCTGTGTTGGGTTGCTGCAGCATACCTACAGCAATTAATGCAATAAAGCTTGACCTGGATAAGAATGGAATTCTACCCAGAGTGATCTTACTGTGTGTTTACTTACAAAGTGTATATGGTTTCAAATTGCTTATTGACTCATGACATAATGAATTTTGATTTTCTTAAGCAAGGAATACCTCAAAGGTGGTTTTGCCAGTTTCTTAATTTGAAAAACAGCCCACAGTTCCTAGTAATTAGTTGTATCCCGCCCATGTACTTTATTCCCCAAAACTTCAGAATGGTATATAAGCACCACTACTGAGGGGGTCACACACACATCATTCTAAACTAGCTACTTATTGAGTTTCTTAGGAAAAGGTCAAACTTCCTAGCTAATATATATTTATTCTTTTTCCAAAGAGTGATATGATCACACAGTGAAAAAACACTCATGTAAATGATACATAGTTTAGAATAAGTCCAGATCTTAGTGAAGATTTATAGATCTTGTGAGCTACAACAGGACCACGTAAGTAGAAGTTAATGATCCAGATCTACACCTGGTTCCATTTTTGTCACGTTTCCCAGAACAGGTAGAACATTGCAAGCATTCTCTTGTTCTCCCAACTATAAAATGTTGCTCTCAAAAGTGGCGTTTCCTCAAAGAAACATCTGACGCATATGCAGAAAGGTTTGGCACACTGCATTTTAGGGACGTAATTATACCACTGCCTCAAATAATTGGTGGGAACCGCATTGCAAAGTTTTGCCATCATTCTCATTCCAGTTTAAAATGCACCCATCTTCTGTTACAATGACAATTAATGTACTACATTAATTAGTAACTATGAAACAAATCATATCAGAATATTTGCAGCTGGGATAAAAGACATGGCAGTTGTATATCAGCCAGTTGCTAATGAAATCCTATTGCAATATACAGTACTATATAATTCTAAAGCAATGGGATGAGTTTAAGGATGACCAACCATCATCTTTCAAAAGGATTAAATATACTATAGTATAAGGACTGTGTAATTATAAAAAGTATCACAATTGTATTTTTGAATAGGCATCATTGAATGACACTAACGAACTCTTGAGATGACCGCTTACTGACTGCATTGGAGAAAAACACGAAGATTCTGTATTGGCGTTGGGTTTTTATTGAAATACAAAAAGTGCAAATGGTGAAATACAAGATTGGTACTTTCAGAAGTAAATAAACATAAGATGTGTGAAATAAGTTCACAGTACAAACCCGAGTCCTGCTTCCAATAAACATTAATCATGAGAATGAAAAAAGCAGGGGGTAACACCAACAAAAAGCAAAGCTGTAAATTGTGTATAAGGACCCCAGTGATCAAGCAAGCAATGAGGGGCCACTTGGCTGTGAAAGACCTCTGCTGAGTCAGGAACACTTACCATAAGGCATCTATTTGGTTTCACTGTTAGATGCATCCCCCAAAAATTCTTTTCAGTACAGACACAGGAAGGACTGCTAGAGGCAAGGACTCTGAATGTGTTCAGGGACCACATAGACACCAATTGCCTTTATCAAGAAAGCAAAGGCTATAATGGAGACAAAGTCCACCATCCAAAGAAGCATTATGGTCAGTAATTCCTAACACTGAAGCTAAGCAGTTAGGCAGAACCAGGTAGGTGTCTCACTGGGAACACAGAAGGATAAAAAGTTTAGCCATTGCTATCAGCCTCTATGATGAGAGGGGAGGGAAAGGACATAGCTGGTCCCATAAGATGCTGATCCCATAATCTTAACTGCCTGCTTGGATGCTTATCACTCTAACCCCAATGGTAGGGATGGTGAAAGAATGTAGTTCAATGCTAAATGGCAAAAAATCCAGACACCATTAATAGGGTGCAATCAAGCCCAATACACAGTTCCACAGAGCAGCTACAGTGACTGGAAAAGGGAAGATGAGTTGAGCGGGTGAGAAACAAAGAAAATAGGGGAAGCAATCATGTGCTCCAGTCCTCCTGGCAGCTCCAGCAAAGGGAGGGAAATAACAGCTATTTACAGTGGCTCACTTCCAGGGAACTTCGTGTGCATTATGTGCAGTACCTAGCAACACAGAGCTTTGTAATAGGACAGACAGGAGGAGGAAAAATCTCACTTAGAAGTTTTAAGTGTCTGATGGGATTTATAAAAAGTGTAACTGCTTACCAAAGGGCACTCCTCTTTACTCAAATGCTCTTTACTCCTTGCCTCACTTGAGACTTTTTAAAGTGAAAGGATACAGTAGCTGAACCAGCAGCCCCAGGCCCTCATATTTAGGGTCTTTTCCTCACAAGTGTTTCCATGAAAAACAGCTGCCTTTTCCTCTCCACCCGAGGAATGTGGAATGAGGACTGGCAAAACTGGAATCCGAGCACATCACTATTTCCACTGCCCCACTTCTAAAGACATATAAGACAGCAGATATTGGCAAGGCACCTCAAGAGGCCTACTGCCATGGACTATAGATTTCTACAATGGGAAGGGGGTGAAACGTTATCAAGAAGTAGCCACCTGATAAAAGTTTCATCCTTATTGAACCATTCTAAACTCAGTAAGAAACACTAAGAGGCAAGAATTCTTGATAGTCCTGCTCCAAATACCTTGGTTTACCATTTCTTAAAGTATTTGGACGACTACCAAGAACTAGCACACTAATATAAAGAGCTAATCCACTGGATGTGGTGACAGTACAACCACTGATAATCTTAGCATATTTATTGGCTCTCGTTTGTCAATAAAGACCACAGCAGAGTTTTTCATTTAGATTTTTTAAAAAGCTGATTCTACATTTACAAAACAGCTTCTTTGCTGAGTTCCCTAGAATTTAACTGGTACTGGAAATTTCTGGTTCTAAATAGCCATAAAACACTGCTGACCTTTTTGTGAACAGTAATCCTACTATTTTACCAAGTTTGTTTATAAGCTTCATGAGACCAAATAGGCGTAAGACAGTTCACAGTGTAAGACAGTTACAGAAATATATCATGAAAAAGTACTCTTAACATCCAAGTTAAAAGCAAAGTTGGCTGCATATCCAGTAGGAAACCATTTGATTTTCGTAATGGCTTAGAACATCTGTGCTTGGATAATGGCTAAGCTTGGTTCAAAGTCCAGACCGATTCAGATCTCTAGGATGAAAACAGGAACAAATCACATGGCCTGAACACCAACCACAGCTAAGCAGTAATATCAATTCTATTCATAGAAAAAGACAGAAATACTCATGTCTTCATGTGCCAAATACACCAAATCTGCAAATATCAGAAAAAACTATGAGTTCTCCAAGGACATGAAGATAGCTGTCCTAAAATGTGAAAAACTTAATGCTCATCCAAACATCAGAACAACAAACCCCAGAATAAAGGGCAGGGTAGTTCCTGCATAAGGTTTGGCTTTAGAGATCAACCTTTCGGTGAAAGAGGCCCCAATTCCAAATGGAAAGGCATCTGCATCCAGGGACGTAAGTGTCTCCCAGTGTGCACAGTGCCTGTGCTTTAGTCACATTGGGTTATTAGAGCAAAAGATTTAAAATGGAAAGGGAAGGGGGTATCACCAGCAACAGTAAAAGAATGCTGTAACTTTCCATTTGGGGAAAGCACACGGGATGGACCCATCCATGGCAGATTGCTCCAGAGAATGTGACTTTGGCAGCTTGATCTTCGACTTTGGCAGTTTGGGGAGATAATGCCACCTGGGCAGATAGAACCCATTTATAATTTTTATAGATTTAAGGGCAAAGAATCGGCCCCAATCTAAAAACAAACAAAATGACCATTGTTCTCTCTCAAACAAGAAAGGATTGCTAGCAAAGCCAGTTTGAAAGAGAAACTCTGCTAGGAGAGATGGTTTCTGCAGAAGGGTACTATAAAGACGGTGAAGTAAGTGAGCTCCATAATATCAGAGGGAAACTGTATAAAGATAGGGAAATTCTAATGGCATCTACAACAAGTGCCAGAGTTCCTGGAAATATACAAACAGCAATACAAGTAACTAGTAAGAAAAGTGAGCATCCCCAAGACAGTACAATCTTCTCTTGTGGCCCTTGGACTTTGAGTTCATTTTTCCATTAATCAAGAGTAGAAGATTGGTTATCTTCAGCTGCAGTCACCCGCTTCCAGCAGAAGAATGCTCAGGACTATATGCCTTGGGAACATGTGGCGAGACAACACAAGCCGGAGGGGGGGAAAAACAGAAAGATCTGCCCGCCAAAGGGTCACTGCAGCGAAATGCATTAGTCCAGATTACACAGGCACAAAGAAGAGCCATTTCGTTTTTTAAACAAAACTGGAAAAAGAAGGGCACTGTAGCATTCAAGAGCAAACTGGTTACTGGCATCTCAGACAGACAACCCAAGGCAGAACTTGGATAGATCTAGATAGGGAAGCCTGCTTCTCACTCCCCGCATAATCATGCATTGTGCCCATCCCTTGCTCTCCCTCATACATACAGAAAGGCCCTCTTTCACTCTGCTTATCTTCCAGAGTTCTCCCAAACTTGGCCACGGCTCCAAGACAATAGAAAGGAAAAGGGGGAGGAGAAAATAGATGGTCGTAGTAGACACAGAAGGTGTGGTAGCTCAGACAGACTCTGGATCAAGCATCCATATTCTGGAAAAGCTCCTTCTCATTGTCCAATAGGAACTTAGTGAAGGTGTTGATAGGATTGATGGCTTTGAGGGTAATGGCAGCATCCTTCGCCCACAATAGGTTTGGGCCAAAAACTACTGCTAGGTTAGCGTTGGTCATTTTATTGATGTCACTGTTAGCAGAGACCTAAATGGAGGAGAGAGAAAAAAAAAGAGACAAGTCAATTTAAAGACAAACAGACTTAGTTCAGGTATATTTCCAGCTACTGCTCAGCCAAAGATATATAAGGGCAACCTTCCATCTTTTGAGATTTAATGTCTTAAAGTAAAAGTCAATGAGAGTCCACTTAGAATTACATCCAATTTAGTACAAGAGAACTCACTCCAAAGTAAGTATACAGGAGTAATCCTTATATCTGACCAGTTCCCGACTAAGGGGAAGTCAGAACTCCTCTGTTACAGGATGACAGTAAATAGATTTTTAAAAAGAAATCCATGGCTTCTCTGCAAACAGAACATTCACAGGCAGAAGGAAAAACATGGAAATGTCTGATCTTGGTCACATATTTTAGAAAAAAATCAGTCATGTGTCTCTACTACTCATAAGAGGTAAGATAAGTAAGACAAAAACAAAATAAAAAAAAACAAATAAACCAGAACTCAAACAGTGGTCAACAGGATGTAATAAGTCAGTGAGGAGAGCATGAAAAAAAGTAACACTGCAACTCATCATCTGTAGCATCTACTATCTTGCCTTCCAACAAGATAACTCCATTTAGTTTCTGTGGTACATAACCACTGATAGACAACCTCTACAAACACCTTTTAAAGCCCAAAATCATGGCCATATCTTATGACAGTGTAGTTCAAAGTTTGAGTAAGCTTACCTGCACAAGGAATGTCACCAGCACACAAAGAACTTGGTAGTTTTCCTCTGGCAAAGTCTGGAGTGTTTTGCGAACAACATCCACACGCTTCTCTTCTTCTACGCCTAGAGAAAAACAAGTGAGGCACATTCACCAGCAAACAGGATGTTGACTTGCATGGGAGAAACACTTTGCTGAAGAAAGCCTAAGGAGAGGTCGACTGTCCAAGAGGTATCAGACGTCCATTACACTGGTTTAGGTAATAATAATTGGCCACTGTATGAGATATCCAACCAGAAGACATCCAGCTCAAGTTCTGTTATCTCAGGTATGGCTGTGCACAATCATACTTGTGAAGAGATAAAGATGGGGTTTGCTAGATGGGGATTGATGAACCAAAACTGAATCCTGGTAAGAAGTTCTGTGGCTGGGTGACTGTGTGTCCAGAAATTGAGCAATTTGTCTGTGCAGAACAGGAGGTGCTCTCCTAACAGGGACAGAGAGAAAAGGATGCTATTTATCCCTGTCTCTGTCAGTCCAACTGATTTGATAGTAGATAGGACCTGTTATGGCTTTGCCTAGTATGACAGGTACAATCACTCCTTTATTTGGGAGTTCCCTTGAAACTCCCAAGAGAGCACACTGATCCTCATTCGAACATTGGGCTGTGGCAAACTTTCATTGTACCATCCACCATGTCAAATGATCTCACTATTGAGATTAGCTAAGGTCACCTTGCAGAAGTACTTCCTCAAAAACAACTTCAGCCATATTTGCTTTCCTGATATTTTTCTGACAGTTTCAGTTATTATGAATGATTCTGCTGTTTTATTAGAACCACTTTCTTATGAGAAATGGTTCCCTTTGAGATGCATAGGTAAAAAAGCATTATACATTTTTCCCTTTAAAAGCAGCATATCTGTGCGTGGGGCAGATTTGGATGAGGTTCTGTGGTTGGATGCTGTGGAATTAGGATTCTTTAAATAAACCACTCACTGTAGAAATTGACAACATCGCTGTAGAGGCCAAAAGTGAGGAGAGGTTCAGGAAGGTCCCGCAAGAAGGTCTTGAGAATCACAGCAGGAAGATGAACATCATCATACTGTAGGAAGTCCACAGGCAGCCCTGAACAAGACAAAGCAGTTAGCTCCAAAGCAGCACAAGAGCATAGCTTGCCATGGAAGAGCTAAATTATCATTAAACAGACATAGCAAAGCATGTCATAGAACCACAGAGTTGGAAGAGACCACAAGGGACATCCATATTACTGTGAGTTGGGACCATGACAGAGCAGGCAACACACACAGTTGGGCAAAAGAATCAGTGGCACGTCAGCCACCTCTATATCAACAGTAAAAAATATTGTTTGGATTAGAAATGGTGGGGACAATGGATTCATACAGAGATAGAGGACAAATTTGTTACACTGATTAAACACAAGTGCTGAAAAGACGGAATAAGTTCCTATACCAATACATAGACATCTATTCTCAAACAGGTTCATGGGTTCCAGACAGGTTCCAAACAAAGTTCTATTAAATTCTAAAATTCCCTGTTGCGTGAGAAGATTTCCATGTGCCGAAGGTAGACTTAAGGCATAGGCAGAAGGGAGAGGAAGAGTGGGAATGGGCCATATTCTTGAGACAGGAAAGCAAGTGCTTACCCATATTGTATTTCTGTTGAACTTCTCTAACTGTTTGTGTGTTTGCAGACCGACGAAAAATCCCCTGTGTAGTAAGAGCTGGAGAGAAAAAAAGGCAAGAGCTTAGGGTGGAAAAAATAATTTCATGACAGGACAGTGCTAAAACACCTGAAGTTTGCTGACTATCAAGTGGCCAAGGGATCTGCTCCTGTAGGGAAGAGAAATCCACTCTCAATTTTAACACTGCTCATCTCACAACTGCTTTAAGCTGAGTGGGAATCCACTGGTACTGAACCATGCTCCTGCACCAACAGAGTACCCATTCAACCTGGGTACTCTGCACAATGGGAGGAATGGGGTAAAAGCCAGAGTAGATTTTTTACCTCCCAGACAGTTCAGCTAGAACTTATGCAACCAAGAGAGACATTGAAAGGCACACAAGATAAATCAGAACAGAGCTTTTCCTAGCTCACTCACCATGTTCCTGTAGATAGGCAATTGTTTCCTTGATCACCAGTGGGGTGGGATTCTGGTCTGGACTCTTCTCCCGTAACCTGTTGAGAAAGGATGTAAATGACATACAGAGGAAGGCCTCGAACAATACACAGCAAAAGTCAAAAATCATATGAGAACTCAAATAGTGGGGAAAATGCCAAGGTACAGGAAAGTCTTTGAATCTAACCTAATCTCCACCTTCTTTCAGAATGAGATCTTGGCTGTTCAGAATGCCAGGAAAAACGGTGAGCATGGTTATAGATTCAATACTATTGGAAACTATTTCCAGAATTATTCAGAAAGAAAATATAGGCAGCACTGGGCTAAAAGGTTAAAATAAAATAATAGTAATGCTTACTGTTGGAGAGAAACTCCAAACTGTTGGTTAGGCAATGGTGGGCGAGGTGGTGTTACTTTTTGAGGCATTTGAGAGGGCTTTTGTAGTGATCTCAGGTATTCATCATACCTACAGGGAGAGAAAGACACAGAAAGATATGCATGGCATCATCTCATTTTACAAAGGGAATTCAAAGCAGATGTCTGTCATCTTTTTTTCTCAGGAACACATAAGAGAAGGTTCTGGTAAGTCCATCCATAAAGTCCTTCTACAACAATTATAATCTAGAGCTTGCTGCATACCTCTGAGAAAACTAAGAGGTGTGAGTGCCAATATCTGGCACCATAAGGCCAGATTGACAGCAGGAGAAAGTCTCAATTCAAGAGATTAAAAGTTAGCTCCCTAGCAGTAGCTAAAAGAGTAAAGGGGGGCAAAAAGACAAGGATGTCTGGGAAACAGCATCCAATATAAAGGCTGTAGGAAGTGGGGCCCAAACATGAAGAAAAAGAAATACTTCTATTAAGAGTCATCCCATCAATTCACAAATTATATGAAAATGTAAAGCAAACTGGACTCCTGAATACTTTTTCTCCACTCTCTCTCCCTTCTCTTTTCTCCCATTCAGCCATTCTCTTTGGAGCAGACACCTCTAAGAAATCTAGGGGAAAGCAAATAAAAAAACACTGTCTCACTTTAACACCTGGCTTGGGATCCCCAGCTGTTCCAGCTTCACATGTTCCTCCAAGTCACTCAGGTAGTTTGCATAGAAAATCTTACGTCCAAACTTAAAGCTGCAAGACAGATGACAGAATATTAAGGTTGTTTAGTTATGGGGCAGCAGCAACATACTTAAGGATGGCTGGTCGACACAGGACTCTATGAAGAATGGTGCACAAGAATGTAAAAAATAAAATACTGCACTTCACTGTATAACAGTCATGCACTGTTTTGGGGAGAAGAATTAGGGGTTCAACTATTACGCAAGAGGGGAGCCTTTTTTCTGAAACTGTAACTTTTTAAATAAAACGTTGAAAAGAACTTGAGAACATATACAGAAATGTCCAGAAAACAAATATACATAGTTAACACATGCTGATCTTCCTTTTTGGAAGACTGCACACCACTGTCATTGCTGCCAGTATCTGATGTCCTGTCTTTTTTCTCTTACCTATCACTCTCACACACTGCATCATCTTCTGATCCACCCAGTGCATTAGAAATGCCAGGTTTTAAAAGCTTTTCACAAAAATGTTCTCCATGATAAAGGCCCAACTTTTAATGGCCCATGTGTACATCAGTTCTAAGAATGAGTGTTTCACATTTCCAGCTGATGTCAATTGGTGATCACTGCTCATCATCCACTCATTGTACAAATGACTCAAGTAATCTTTAAACAGCTTGTTCATTGATACATTCAATGGCTGCAAGATATAACTTAAGCCACCAGGAATCACTATCTCTTGTGTCTTACCATAATGGAGAAGTTGCTTCACTTCCTTGACAATGTGACTTCGAAAACTATCCAAAATTAGCAGAGCCGGCTGCTTCCGTAGCACACCCAGTCTTAGTTTTAACCCAATCCATCATGAGTTCTTAGTCCATCTAACCCTTTGCCTACATCCATACATGAATCCCACTGAGAAATTTTACTCCCTTAGGCATTGTTTTCCTCTTTAAAATGATGTAAGGCAGTAACTTTCTTCCATCAGCTGTAATGGCAAGCATTACGGTGCACCACAGTCTCTTGTGATCACTGGTTCTCATAGAGACACTAGATGACCCTTTTGGTGCAATAGTACTGTTCTGGGACATGTCAAAAACACAGCAGTCTGCTCAGCATTACAAATTTGCGAAAAGGGGTATAACATTTCCTTGTGCATACACAAGCTTTCTACCTTCTTGGTGTAATCAGGTGGCAGCTTTTAGCATAGTGTAGTCACCTAGATAGGTTGTGTCATCGCATGAACCTCACAACCGAACTAGACTTGCCTCAAACTGAATTGGGGTTTGCAGACTACCTCCTATGCTTTCATATGCAGCATCTCATAGGATATGCTGCAGTCACTGTCATACATCTTTATTACTTACTCAAATACTTCAATTTGTGGAAACTTGCCTGTTTTGGGGACCTCTAAATGCACACCATCCATCTGCTGCCTACCCCGTTCCAGAAATGCTGCTTCTAGCAGCGTTCCTGTAAGGGAGTAAGCAATCGATGGATGGGCATCTGAGTGAGTGCGTGCGTGAGTCTTTGGCAGGTGAAAGATGGGTAAGTGAGTGAAGTGGGCGGGTGGGTCTTTGGGCAGGTGAATAAGCAAGTGGATGGGTGTTTACAATTATGAGACTGCCTAAATTAAGGATGTGACTCTTATGTGAGGAATCCTTAAATACTAAAACCATGATCCAAAAACTGGGGGCGCAACTACTATGCGATTAAATGCAGTACTCATGCAGAAGTTAAAAGGCAGACCCTCATATTCTACATTGCACATATATACTAACTGATAGGTAACTGGAATGATAGTCTATCTTTACACTTGGTGAGGGATTGGAAGCTTCTCTTCTTCCTAAGGCAGTACTCTGGCTTGAAGATTCTACTAACCCTGAACTCTGCTTTATGTTTTCATTCTCCCTCCCACACAACTCCCTGATAGAGACCAGGAAATCTCTGTAGGAAGTCTGGGTTATCAGCCAACTTAGTGACACTTATGCAAACAATGTAAGCACAGGCTCAGCAAAAGCTGGGAACTTGTGATTCCTGTAAGACAGGGACAGTGGCCCAATGCAAGTCAAAACATATCATTCATCAAAGCTGAATTCTGCAGCTGACCAAGAGCAAAAAGAAGGAAAGGACAAACAATGTTCTCAGAGTTTACACATCACTGTGGAACTAGTTTGCAGAACAATTTCTGTACTGTCTGCTACAAAAGTAAAAAAGTGTGTAAACAGGGCATCACCTTCCCTCCTGCCTTTGCGAAATATATTATGCATGCCAAGTTGATCACAGAAAGATTAAACATAAAGGGAAAATTGAAGGAAACTGGTAAACTATGACAGGAATTACAAAATGGTGAGCAAAAGCTTGTTTAAAAGACAAAAGAGAATATGTATGAATATACCTGAAATGAACAAATCTCATAATGTTGGTTTTTCTTCTCATCAATGTATTACTGAATTTAAACCAGCAAGACAAAAATATAAATCCTCACTTGCTGTGTTTTAGCCACTTTCTTTCAGCCTGACCTCTGTCTTAAGATCATGGTGGGGACAAAATTAGGAAAAAAAAATGGTAAGAAGGTGAAATTTGCTATCTTTGGAAGAAGGTCAGGAATAAAGACCCAATAAATACTAGGAGTGGGAAATTGCGAACTGGTGACAATATTTCTGCCTCAGGCCTCTCTGAGGGCCACGTGAATTACCAAAAAACGGATTATCTGAAAGTGCACTTCTGATTTCAGAAAACAAAAGTGCATTTTAAATAATAAACAAGTTCCAAGCCCCATTTAAAAAGTGGACTATTGTGACTGGAAACTTTTAGAAGTGGCAATTCAGTTTTTTGAGCCAGATAAAGCCATTCCAGGGAGTGAAGGGTTGCAAAAAATGGCACAATTGCCTTTCCTACCTGATCAGAGGCTTAAAGAGAATCAGCAGTGTCTTGATGAACATTGTTGGATGCACAATATACAATGCTTTGATATTCTTTTTGTATCTAAAATGATAAGATAAATAAGAAAGAACTTGACTTGCTGTGAGAAAAACATACAGCCATCTCCAACTATTTACCTATAAAAGCTTTCCAATGAACTCATGTTGGTGGCACACCTTTTGTACATGTATTATTTTTTGACACAATAATTAAATTTTACTAGCAAACCGGATGCTAATCCAACTCCTTAGAAGGGATACAGACACATATATAAACCACAATAATGAAATGTATGGGGACACAACATATCTCATGAAAACCATTCATTTACATTTCTAACAACATATTATTTATTGCTTATTTCACAAAGATTCAGAGATTTCTTATGGTGTTCACGTGACACACCTATACAGTGCAGTTGACACACTAGCGTCATGACACACAATTTGAAAAACTCGGAACTAGGCTATATAACCCTTAGGGAACCCTATAAAACAATTATAATTACATATCAAATCCTTGCAATGCTAATTTTTCAAATTTCACATCTAAGTACACTTACTTGCGATCAAATTCCCGATAGGCATCCCGCAGCCAGCTTAGTGATGGCTTGTTCTCACTAGTCAGGCCATGGTGCAGATACACCAAGGTGTAGTCGCTCTCCACATATTGGTCCAATGTATACTTCAAATAGCTGAAGGAAGATGGTCATACCAAGATTTTAATATGTATTTCTTTTTAATGTTCTGTGGTCTGCAGAAAGATAATTTAGCTACTGCAAGGAATAAAACAGTAAGATACGGCCCTTCAAAAAGAGAGCTGGAGGAAAATTCTGGCTTCAACACTGAAAGATTGTTACATAAATATAGCGTGCCCCAAATTACTATCACCTGTAGAATTGAATTCTTAAGGAAGATTGTCAGGACTAAGCTTCATCAAAACAGGTGTTCCCTTATAGTTGCACGCACCTCAGCAATTTCACATGATCAAGCTGATAGCTGGGAGGCATCCGGCAGGCACTGAACAAAATAACTTTCCGCCCATACTTGTCATCACCTGAGAACAAAAATGGCACATATCACAGAAGGTTAAAAGACCAATCAAGGAGCCTCTAAAAAGGGGGTGCAATAGAGCAAGCACTGCTTAGTACTTGATTGTTGCTACATCATTCCAGTGGAAAATTCAAATGGCCTGGCTTGTCACAAAAATTAACGTTACATAACTTCACCTTCATAAAGCCCTCAAGGTGTCATTCTGGGAAAAGGCTGTGAAGACTCAGGCTCTCAAGGGCAAGAGGTGGAGAAGAGTGAGGGGTCGTATTAAAAAAAAGATGCAAGGCCATGTTACTCTTGAGTTGACTGAAGACTATTTGATTTGGAATTATAATGACAGCACAGAGGAGAAATGTAGCCACAATGCTACTATGGTGAATACAATGTATGTTTGAATTCAAAGACTTAACCGTGTTAGTCTAGAATATTAGCAATATAAAGGGATTTTAGAGACTGAGGAAACAAAGTTGGTAGCATAAGTCCACAAAAGCTTATGATAGTAACTTCATTCTCTCAGTCAGTCTATTTATGGTGCTGCTACAAAAGCACTTTATGTTACTGATGTTTGTAATTCAAAAGCAAAGAAAAATTATTCCCACACAGATGGCTAGATAATAAATTACTAATCTGTTTACAAGACACTGTTCTTGTCCACATTTCCCCTAATCCAACTGCAAATCGCTTGCTGTTTCAATATTTGATATTCACCAAATGGAAAACAAAGCAAACAAATTCAGGAACTGCAGAGTAATGAACTGGTCTCAAGCATTATGGAGAAAAGCATATTGGATGTGGGGCAAAGGTACATCAAACCAATAGCAAACTGGAGAATGACGCACAGAAATGTCCCACTGTGCTGCAACATACATGCTGTAAATAATCTTTAATTTTTTCCAGCTCCCTCAACCAGACAATTAAACTACCATATTTACTCAAGTCTAATGCTCAACGTTTTGGCAAATTACATTGCCAAAATTGAGATGCACATCAGATTTGATGGTGCATAAACCCACCTGCGTGAAAAGGGTTGGAGGAACATAGAATCTTGGAGGCTGGACAGGGAGACATGGGGGCACGAAGAAGCTGTTCCCAGTGGTGGCGGCAGCCTCAGTGCTTCATGGCACCCCAGGAGGAGGAGGATCGGAGGAGATATGCCCGGCTGCTGACCTAGTCGTTCCTGCCACTTAGGTGAGGATCCTACTTTCCAAGAGACCATCAAGTCCCCCTTGGTTTTGAAGACCACATGAATGAGCCAGCTGAGAATTGTGCAAGGCTGGCAAGTTCATCAGCCTTGGCCTGATAGAGGTGTGTGGCTTCCCAAATGGCCTCAGTCATACTGTCTGTCACCCTGACATGCTATGCCTGCACTGTTGGGTGCATCACATTTGAGCGCAAATCTGTTTTTCATAATGGGCACTTTCAAAACTGATTACATTTGATAACGCATTATACTCGAGTAAATACAGGTAATTTGTCTGCCATTAACACCAGGACTAGGTCTAGGAAAATTTGGGAAAATAAGAAACAAGAGAGACAATTTCTTTTTGAACTTATTTTATATTTTTGAATAATAAGAAGATATGATCCAAGAAGATGGAATGGAAGTCATTTTTTTGTTTGTTTTTTTTTTTGTGTTTTTTGTGTATTTTTGTAGAATTTTTTTAAGGGGTTATTTGGGATTTTAGTATACATTTTTGTTTCTTCTTTTTTCTCCTTTTTCTTTTTCTTTATTTCCTCACTTTCCTGTACTTTATTGTTCTCACTCTTTCATTGCAATCTATATAAAAATTAATAAAATTCTAATTAAAAAATAAATAAAATTAAAAAAAACACCACATGACTAGGTCTAGGAAAATATAGCTCCTACCACGTAAGAGCTCAGATCCTTGAAGCAAGGAAAATCACTAATATAAAGCTTATGACCTCAGTAGAAGTCAGTGCTTATGGCTAGTAACAATAATGGTGACTTATCAGTAAAAGTCTCCAGAAACACTTGGACAGTTTAGGATGAAGTGAGTTATATTTTGGTAAGTAAAATAAAAATAAAGAAACAGAGATTGTACTTTCACTCTACTTGAATATCACTGGAGTGAATCAATCATTGGGCAACACAATTTCACAAAATAATTATTTTATGAGTATTTACAGTTTAGTCTAAGGGTTCACTTATAGTTACCTATTGTAAAGGCTTGTAACTACTTCTGGATTCCTCCTTGTAAATGCAAACCTATGGAATTCCTATACCAATGTCCCTTTCGGGTAGGTTCAAAGTTGTACATTCTGCAGAGGAAAGGCCGCATACAAGTTCTGATAGACTTTAGGGATATTGTATTGTCGAAGGCTTTCATGGCTGGAATCACTAGGTTCTTGTAGGTTTTTTCGGGCTATAGGGCCATGTTCTAGAGGCATTCTCTCCTGATGTTTCGCCTGCATCTATGGCAAGATCCTCAGAGGTAGTGAGGTCTGTTGGAATTAGGAAAATGAGTTTATATATCTGTGGAATGGCTGGGGTGGGGCAAAGAGCTCTCTGCTGGAGCTAGGTGTGAATGTTTCAACTGACCACCTTCATTAGCATTTGAAGGCCTGGCTGAGCCTGGGAAAATCTTTTGTTGAGAGGTGTTAAGATGTGCCTGGTTGTTTCCTCTCTGCTGTTTTGCTGTTGTAATTTTAGAGTTTTTTAATACTGGTAGCCAGATTTTGTTCATTTTCATGGTCTCTTCTTTCTGTTGAAATTGTCCACATGCTTGTGGATTTCAATGGCTTCTCTGTGTAGTCTGACATGGTGGTTGTTGGAGTGGTCCAGCATTTCTGTGTTCTCAAATAATATGCTGTGTCCAATAGGGATATTGTTGGACTCTTTGATCATCATAAGGGTATGCTGAAGAGTGATACAGTTTTCCTGCTATGAAGACAGAGGTGATTCATTACAAAGGCTATCTCCTCCAGTCAGGTTGACTGTGTTCCCCGCTTTACATTTGCAGACTAAGAAAGGAATATCATTTAAAAAATATCTGAGGATTCTCTGATCCACCATAACTAAGAGGGCAAGTGACAGAGAAAATCCTCTATCTAGAAACTTTTTTTGGTAACAAATCAGTCTTATTCATGGCTGATCAAGATATCTCTACACCACATTTTAACAAAAGGTAAAGTATCTGAAGGCATCAAAGAATGCACCCTTCTTCATAATGACATATTTTCAATTCCCCACTACACCAGATGCTCATGCAGCATTCAACACTGAAACACAAACGTCCAATTGTTATTGGGCCATTGTTTGTTTTTAGTTCTAAAAAAATTCTGAATTTCTGTAAACTTTAGTCACAGGTTTAAGGAATTTTTATCTTATGAATGCTTTAGCTAGATAAAAACTGATATATGGAGAATTCAGGTTGCTATTATTTATTTATATCACACAACTCCCCACAAAGAGGCCAGAGTAGCTCAAAACTGAAATAAAATACAGTATAAGATGCCGACACTATGAAGATATATTTATGACAGATATAAAATAGAATACTAATAAACTATCAGCCAACATCAGCAACAGAACAAAGAAGTGCTCCACCTTCAAAAGTTGAAATCTTGCATATAAAAGCCTCCTTTACCTGATACTTTAATCCAAGATAAAATTCATTGCACATTTCAACGAAGCACTGCATCATGGTATACTCACATCCACTAGAAATGTATTCACTTTCCTTTGATTTCTTATGTTCTGCATTTTTTCACAGATCGAATTCATTGTTTTTTTTATGTTGAAATGAAAATGTTGAGGTTTTTTGCATGTTATGGCTTTAAGTCATCTTTGATTAAATTCTCCATAGTAATAGACAGATAACTTCATTTGTACCCTCCAGACGCCACAAAGCTGAGAATAATACTCTGGATGAGTGATCATATATTAGTGTATATGATGCTGCTATCTTATGTATAAATTAAAAATAGTACCACTTACACAAATCAAAGACAGTGGTAACAAACTATGCAAAATGTTTCATTCTTTATCAACTCCTATCTTAACTATGGTGAAATGCTTTCCTTTGCCCTTGTTCACTTTCCTCCTTCTATACCAGTCTCTATCTATATGATCTATACATTGATCATATAATAATAAAAATGACTCAATCCACATGTTTACATCTATACTACATAAGTCAAGAGAACAATTAAGATAGGAGGGTCAGCAACACAGAAAAGCCATGAGCAGGGGGGAAGGGTAATATACCATCCCATGAACAGATCTGAAGCATGCTAAAGGAGACGGGAATAGCGGAACAATATGGCAACAACCAGACAAAAAACTAGGTGAAAACAATGCAAGGGTCATCTGGAGTCACCATATACACCTACAGCCAGGTCACAAGACCAACATTCAACAGTTTATCCCATGGTTGCCCAAAACAAAGTACCTAAGCAAAAGACCTTCAGACAGCTTCCCAAGAATTAGAAAACCTTAATAGCATATATGTCCATCCAGTGTATGCCCTACAGTAGATTGCAGATGCTTTTAGCAGTTCACTGAGGGTGTCATAACCCTGCAGATTATGCAATAATGTGGAGTTCCTTTTCCAACCTCACATCTCTTTCTAAGAAGTCAAAATACTTTTCAGTTTTGTTGAACTGCACAATATAACCATGGCCAGAAACTTACCAAGTTGTGTAACAGAAAGCTGCTGTAAAGAGTGTCAGAAAAGACTATGTTTTGATCAAGATATGAACCGCAGTACTTTAACTCTGCCAACCCCTACTTGTAACTAAGAAATAGAACAATGACTTTTGATATTGTGGCCCTGTCTTTCAATGTGAATTAATAAGATAAGACCAAGGAACAGAATCTAGAAACAGCCAGATCAATGCCTGTGGGTTGTGTACAATTAGGATGCACCATCTATACCGATACAACCATCTGTAACTGTTTTCTGCAGATGTTTGCAGTTTGTTTTCAAAAAAATGAAAATCATGAGACATTAATGTACATGAATATCTCCTGCTCTAGAGTAGTACTCCTAAATAATATTCCAACTACTTAGCATGCGAACAATACTAAACAATTATCCAAATCCCTTTGTCTCAAATGACATGTCCATACATGAAAACTGGTGACTAACCCTTTAGTGAAGAACCAATGGCCACTGAACTGTAAAGTATCACATGCATTACAAAGTCTGTATGTTTAGGAGATGTGGCTGTGATATATCAGGCAGACCTGAAAGCTACTATACAAAGTGCCTCGACAACAGTAGGCATGCTCTGAATCATGCCAGATGTCTAATTTGTATGAAATTTAAGGAGAAAACATTGTTTTAGCAGAAAGACAATATACCTAAAATGGTAGCGCAAAACTCTTCAACTACTATAGAAATGTTCTGATAACATAAAAATATTCTACTTATAGATTTTCAGGCCACAAAATGGTACGATATGCAGTTAATGCCACTAAGAGAATTCTTCCTATACAAGCTGTCTCTGTCTAGGAAAACCTGCACTTAAGTGCAGCTGAACTTTTTTTCCTGAGAATCGTTTGGTTAGCAAGCTTCTTATACCAGAAATTCTGTCCATCTCAAAGGAACTTTTGGAACAGATCTATGTGAATAAGGAATCACATTATTATGTATAAAAGAATCATTCCCGGAAGTATTTTAGAATATGAGACTCACTGTTCAATATGGAGGAGTGAATGCAAGGAATTACACATATTATTATTCTAGATTAGTCAAGAAAGTTGCCTTTCTCCCTTTTTTTTTTTTTTGGTTGAAACACTACAGAGTAATAAGATTCACATTGGTGACAATGAAAATGAAGACTGAAATTATAAGCTTGATGACTTTGGCTTACAAGCACACTTGAGAAGTTCTAAATCTCTTTCTAGGTATTTACATTTCTCGAATTATAGAAAACATAATTAGGCTGTGGGCACAAACAATGATAGAAAATTCAAGAAGTCTCTTCTCTACTGATCTTCACCAAGCTTCCATAAGCATATTACTAATGTTCATGAGGAAGCTAAGAGATATCTACAGTTAAAGATGAAAAATGACACTAGCAAGCACTTGAAGGTTACATTTAGCTCACAGTTCCATCTGAATTAGCGACACAGTATTTTTTGAAAGAAGAGATGAAGAACAGAAGCCTTATATAATGGATTTAGAACAAACTTGGAAGACAATAGCGATCATCCACACTTGTATAGACTGTTTTACAAACAAAGCTCTCAGCCTACTGGCAGGATTAAGGTTGAAAGTCTTCCAGAAGATGTTTTAGTCAGTAAGCCCAAGTATGCTAGACAGGAATAACGTAAGCGCTGTTCTATCTTCCATAGCTTCAAATAATGATAAGTCAAGAGAAATTCTACAAACTCTCAACACATTTTCCTTGTGGATAGTGAGCCCATCATCATCCAAGGAAAAAAGGAAGAAGAAGCAAAGTGAAGCCTGCAAGCTGAAATCCACTTAGACCTCCACCAGAGATTTTCCAAAAACCATATCCATTTGGGAAAGTAATATGAAGCAGTACAAGCGAGACGTTTGTACTACTGACTAAAGGATAAGCAAGCATAACTGCAATCTACATGACAGAATGCATAATAAGTACAACTTTAAGATTCTGGGACGCAGTCTGCAGCTTTGCAGAATTTGGGCTCCCCTGAGATAACCCAGCCACAGGCCACAGTCATGCTAAAGGATGCCATGATCTTAAGCGCTGATGATAAGAGCACCAGGTACACCACCTACCTGCCTGTGCCCCAGGAAGTGCACCCTGCCCTGAAGGAATAGAAACAGAGTTATATTGAAGTCCTTTAACCGGAACAAATCTAAGGAGTGCGCTGAATAGTCTGGACAGAAAGATCTACAATCAATAAAGCACACACATTTACTCTCAAATCCTTAGCTTCCAGCAACTACTATTATAAAAAAAATAGCTGGTCGTTAGTTGGAGAAATCTGTCTAGACTCTGCTACTATCTCAGTAACCCACTTTTCCCACACTAGAAAGAAACAGTATACATCTGTCTGACAAGTGAAGGAGAACCTTTAAGTGACTGGAGACATTTAAATAATGGAATTTCAAGAAATCAATAAAGTGGTCCTGAAACCCAGGGCAGCTTTCATCCAGACTTCACTCATAACAGAAAATATGGAAACATAAGCTTGGACTCAGATGTTCCAGTGTTAATTATATAACTCAGCAGCATTCGTCAACAAAAAAGGATGCTCTAGTGAAAGCATTTAACAAAGAATCCATCATAATTTCAATTCCTCGCTCATATAGAAACTCAGAAGAACAAGAAGTAAACTCAGTTTGTTGGCCTTTACATGCAAAGACACACCTCAAACATTTGTAAGCAAATTTTGTATGGAAAATCCAACACCAAACATGCAGTAACATCAAAATAACTTTACTAAACTGATTTTTCAATCAATTTCTTTCTCAGGACATAAACTTGGGTTGGGAACATTATCACTGGGAGTCTTAGGGACATTCTAGATCTTCAGAGTCTTATTAACTGAAGCATGTCAGTATATTCGCATTAAGTAAGTAAAATAAATTTTAAGATCTGGAAGGAAATCCTATGACAAAAACACAAAAGGCTATAACCATTCCTGCTACATATTCATCATATATCTCAGAAGATTGCAGCCATAAATAGCTTCCAGAGTGGAGAGGACAAACAGTTTAATCACCTGGGAAATAAATGCAGCGGAAGTCTATCCTGAGACAGAAGGTCACAAGAAAGCACAAGTTTAGCTCCTTTGCCCTTTTAGCTTTTATGAGAAGAAAAAAAAATCTGACAAAGTCACAATCAGGAAATCCATCATTTCATATGTCATTCAAACCATTTTTCTCAAGCTGCAAATCAGCTATTTTTATTGTGTTGCTGGTACTCCTGTCACACAAATTGTTCGTTGCTATTAGGCATTAACAAGTATTAGTTAACTTTTTGACTAACACTTAAAAGAAATATATTTGCTACAGTTTACTTTTTACAGTAGAAACTGCTGCCAATTAATGAGTGTGAAAAGAGTTTTGAAGGCAGAAATCTGAAACCAGAAAAAGGACTGTTTCTAACAAAACATTTAAAACATAAGTGAGTGCAATTTTTTCTACACAAGCATTGACTCTTCGCAAACAAAATAACATAACATTTTCAGAAGTATAAAAGGGGCAACACAACTTACTACATTCAATTGTACTAAATCAAGACTCTAACCAAGATAATATATATTTAGCCAAAATATATGTATTTAACTAATGTTCCCAAAGCATGTCATATATACTCAGGATTTAGACCTAATGGAATAGGAATACTAATGGCTGAATGCTAAACTAATCATATAGTCTAACTAGTGCTCATTTATAATGCTTTTAAATGCTCATTAATAAAGGTTCCCTTGGTTGATCCAAATATCAATCTAACAACTTATTCTGGAAGTTAAGTAGAGTTGGATCTAGTTCATCTTGAAATGAAAAAGCACTAAGTATCTCTAGTCAAAGCTAGGAAAAGACAGTGTGAGACAAGACAGAACAACACTCCGTCTTGATATAAATGCACCAAATATTATGGTGCCAACAAAACAAAAAAGGGGGGAGTAGGAAGAAGATAGCACTCGAATTTTCCTTGGAGAGCTCTGCTCCTAGAAATGGTTCCAGAGGTAATCACCAGTGTGAGTGGGGAGCCCCACCACTGAAAATGTCACCCCAAATAAAGGGATAACAAGGAATCCTCCACACAAACCCAAAGGAGACCATTACATTGGTGAATGTTATCATCTAGTACAACACTGCTTGAGCTCTGCAAGTGCAGCATTTTTCCGAATGAAGCAGTGTTTGAGGATTGGGACATTTCTAGGAAAACCAAGATGCTTGTTTATAAAACTAGTGTCCTCCCAACCCTGTTATATGTCTGCAAAACATGGACCGTCTATAGACGTCACACACAACTCCTGCAAAACTCTTGGGAAGACAGAAAGACAAATGTCAGCATGCTGGAAGAAGCAAAGACTACCACCACTGAAGCAATGATCCTCCACCATCAACATTGCTGGACTGGCCATGTTGTCCAAATGCCCCACCTCTGTCTCCCACAGCAGTTACTATACTCCCAACTCAAGAATGGAAAACGGAATGTTGGTGGGCAGGAAAAGATATTTAAAGATGGGCTTAAATTGTGGCATAGACACCGAGAACTGGGAAGCCCTGGCCCCTGAGCATTCTAACTGGAGGTCAGCTGTGACCAATAGTGCTGTGAAATTCAAAAAGCAACACATGAAGGATGAAAGGGAGAAACATATCAAGAGGAAGGCGCATCAAGGCAACCCCTGTCAGGACTGCCTTCCACCTGGAAATCGATGTCCTCACTGTGGAAGAACATGCAGATCAATAATAGGTCTCCACAGTCACCTACAGACCCTCCTCCGAGTCATTACACTTGGAAGTCAATCATACTCAGACAGGAGTAAATGATGATGATCATCATGTAGCAATCATATGCATAAAAGGATTTCTAAATATTTGAGAGAAAACTACCATCCAATGGACAAGTAAAATTTTAAAATTTAAAAAGCTTTTTAAAACGTCAACAAGAGTTACCAGAACCACAGAGACCAAGACAGCCAATGAAGTAAAGAGATCCATCAGTGGGCACATCACTGAAACGGCAACTTCCATAGAAGTTTCACTCAAAAGATGGATGAATCAAAATAGATCAGGAAAGGCAAGAGAGGGAGCCAAAATATGAACTAAGATAAGAGATATGACAGGATATCAGAAGAGAAGAGGTGATTAAGCGAACAGATTAAGGACAATTAGTGCAAGAAGTAAAGATGATAAATGAGAAGGTGGGAAAACTGAAATTGAAAGCTGGGACAATGTATAAAGAGAAACAACAACAACTGAATAATTTTGCCTTTCTTGACCTGAAGGGTAAAGAATATTCTCTACAGTTTAGAAAAAGAGAAGGGTTAAATAAATGATATGGCAAACTAGTAGGGCCACTGATTGGATAGTGAAGATGATTTGATGACACACTATGACAGGAGAGTCATCTGATTAGAGGACCAAAGGTGGATTACAAATGTTTTTTTCTGGAATATGAAAGGAGATAATGCTCCGCAGAAGAAGATATTTTTTTATTATCCAAGAAAATTGAATCTTATATACTGTAATTTGTCTTGAAGACATGTTCATTAGAAAGACATAAGCCATTTGACACATAAAAAGTTTGCTTCAGCAGACGGCAGGAACAGGTTTTGTACATCAATCCTATTTTGGGTCCAAGATTAGTAGTCTGATGAGAAAGGTTAGTATTTGGATATTCAAATTAATTTACAAGGGTTTAAAATTCTGGATGTGAGTATATGCTTCATGTGAAGACTGGTTGTTTTTTCACAAATCTTAAGAGATAAATTCTAAGAAATTTATGTTTTTTAGGGTTTAGAATTCCTCTATATATCCCTTGAAAAAGACAGTACTTCTGACAACTGTTTTATATAAAGATTTAAGTCAGACAAAAGAAATCATGGTTTTCAATTGACAAAGTTTGAATTTGGAACGCAAACATTTACAAGAAATAAAATGTTTAAGCTTTTGGTAAAATTTAAAATAGAAGACAAAGAAGTGAAGGATTGTATGATAAAATGGGCTAGATAGTTTTCATATAATATACAGGTGAATCAGTGGGAAAGGAGGTGTTTGAAAGGTTTACCCATTTCCTTTGTGTTATGATTTAAAAGAGAACTTTAAGAGAAATGGTCTAACATCAAATGTATGTTGGAAAAGCGTTAAGCAAAAAAGGCCTTTTAACATGGTGGACGTGTAAAAACTCCCCCAAAATTTTGATCGTTTCACTACACTATACACTAAAATATACCCAGTGCAGTTTAACAATCTATATTACATGATCCACAATAGAAAGAAAATCAACATACAAAAAAAAAAAATAAACAGGAAAGAAATCTAAGTTAGCAACAGTAACACTGGACATTAGAATACATTAGAGAATTCTTTATACCTCACAATATATGAACTCCAGATCCAGGAAAAAAAGTCAATGAAACTTTTTCAAATATTCTTTCAAATTACTATCATCTTGAGAGGTCAGCAACAAAACTACTATTATACATTTGAATACACTGGATACCACAGAATGTCTTTTATGTTGACCCATCTAATCATTCAACACTGACAATATTTGGTAGATGAAATTATTTTAATGTCTATTCATCAGCTCAGAGAATGGAAAGAAATCTCCATTATGTTTGTATGAACAATCACTGTATGGACAATCAACATACTTCCCATTCTAGGCCCCTCTTAGTATAACAATAAATTCAAACTACATACAGAGGTACTTAACAGATACTTTACTCCATAAGACATGAATTATTTCTTGGACTATCCCAAGGAGTCAATATGTTTATTGAAAAAAATCAACTCTAGAAAATTTAGTATCTCTAGGAGTCAAGTAAATGAATAAATAAATAAATATTGCGACCATGGAAGACAGAGCACAATTCCAGGTAGACTGGTGTAACCATTGACACTAATTACTTTATCTAGCTATGTCCTCTCAATTTTCTCTCTCCTCTGCTTATCATATCTGGAACTAAGACTTTTTTTCTATTTCTGATGAAGAAGACCTGCCAATATGTGTTAGGAGCAAGCATTTTTACAGGCAAAATGTATTGCTGCAGTACCAGATATAATGCTCAGTGGAGGGGCTGAAACAATGTATTAAAACACAGGTCTTCATTTATGCCTGTAATTCTATCATCACATTTTCAGCAATCAATATATTGCATTGCTGTTTTTGTTTTAACCAAGTTTGCCTATATATATCATACAGTATTACTTAATTTGGGAATGTACTAAAAGCATCCAGATAAGACAAAGCAAAAATAATAGCTGTGCAGTTCATTATTAATGAAAGAGCAAAGGGTTTAATTATTTTCCTTGGAAATCTATTTATCTGACATTCATACCCATGGCATCACTTCTTATTCCAATATGGTGCCCAGAAAAACTGCCTCTAGCTGTCTGAGTGAGAAGACACAAAAAGTGATTGATTTGTTAATAGAATTAAGATGATCAGTTAATTCTATAAAATTAGATTCTGATTCCCAATTAAGGAGGTATTTTCACTTTTAAAAATGAAAACAAATTGTGCTATTTATTCTAACAAAATCAATTCTGTGCAAATTTCAATTGTTCTTTCCAATAGTCTTTTGTAGTTTCTTTGGGAATAAGTTTTCATATGTGTTCAAAATTGAAAGAAACACAATCCATTCTTCCCCGATACATTAGGAATACAGAAATACAATTATGTATATGGTTATTTTTGAGGGGGCTGGGGGGGAGTATTTTCAAATCACTGATGTAGAATCCATGGACACAACAGGCTGACTCAAAAACACTATCTTTCTAGACAAATAAATTCTGTAAATGAATTTTCAGTGTCAGGTTAATTTATTCCCAGACAATTATCTAAAATTGCATTCTGAACTACAAGTTTAAAGACTATACAGCAATTAGGATTTCCATTTAGAAATTATACGTTATTATCTTGAGAAGCAGAAACAGATTATAGGATTTCTATGAATGTACAAAGTTGGGGGGGGGGGGGTCAAACACAGGTATTCCAGAAAATGGAATTTATTTGAATACGTGATCTGTGCCACAAAATCAATAACTTCTAGGATTGTGATCCAGACTCAGAGAGAAAAAAATCCTCAGAAACAAAATAATAAATAGGACTTGATTGTGATCCTAGAATCAATATACCTTGCAAGCTTGTCAAATTTCTTGGAAAACACTTCATTTCAGTATTTTTAATTTTTCAAAATAACTGGAATTTGACATGATACTCTTCTGATTAACGGTATATGTGCTTCTTTACTAAATTTTTATCCCTATGCTTTCCTATATTTTATTCTGAAAAGAAACCAGAGTATATTTTATTCTTGTAACAATGAAGCTGTGAAACAATACTTGTTTGCATTACTTGTGAGCAGGTATTCAAACTCTGGTCTCTTTAATTAAAGTCTACAATTAACAACATATACAGTAGACTTTAAGCTAACTGGTACTCATGGGGATTGGTAGATGCCAGATAAATTTAGTTTCTGGTTGCTTGAGAGTTACTGTTAAAACAGGGCTAACTAATACTGTACCATACCATAAATTGACTTGATTTGATATTAATAATGAAATACAATAATCAATGGCAAATAAAGACAAACAACTTAATGTAGCATGGTTTTACTGTTTGTATTACAAACACAGTTTTTAAATTTACATTATTATTTATTTCATTGTTTGCTCGTTGCTTGAGAGTTCTAGTTACTGTTTGAGTTCTGGTTAACTGAAAGGTTTCTCTACTTGCAAAAAAAGTAAATCAAATTTTAAAACAACTTGGAAGTTTGGAGAAACTAATTCAAGGCATTTCCAAATAACAATATCAGATATAAGTATATTATGTACCCCCTCAATCACAGCTTTTTTACTTATTACAATTTTACTTTTTCCACCAGAGTCCAATAACTATCTAGACAGAAACACTAAAATGAGGACCAAGCTATTGTTTGGCTACCCCCATTTGATCTTTTTCTATTCTGAGTTGCATCCCATGTTAAAATGATATATTTATTAGAAAGTAAAAAGGGTTAAAAGAAATCATTACCTGCTACTTCCACAATCTGGTGCCTAGCAATGTCATAGTATGGATCATCCCACCGCAAGTGAGTGACAGAGTCAGGTGAGCTTTTTGTATCATCTACATAAAGAAAGACAAAAATATTGTTAACATAAAAATCTCTAAACAAATGAAGGAACACAGAGACATACACAAAAGATCAGATGAGTTATGAATGCTGAAGGAAAATGGAAACATAACATTTGTTTTGTTAAGCGTTTGAGATTTCTGAATAAACAAGTGCATGCATGAATGCAACCATGCAAGTTCAATTGTGTAATGACATTATCTGTAAAAAGAAGGGTCTAAAATCCTCCACCACAAAATTCCTAAGTCATAAATTAGAAAGAGTAACATAAAATATACCCAGATTCCTATACATCTCTTAACAGAAGAGCAAGCAGGACTTCCTACAACATCTTTAAAAAGTTCAAGATAAGGTCTGCAATACATTGATGCCTTTGAAATAAGACAGAGCCCCATTCAAATTTGAACACCATGGTTTAGGAGTGATATTGACAAGCTAGAATTTGTCCAAAGGAGGTGACCAAACGGTCTGGAAGCGAAGCCCTACAAAGAGCAGCATAAGGCGCTGGGTACGTTTAGCTTGCAGAAGAGAACGTTAAGAGGTGGCATAACAGCCATGTTTAAATGTATGAAAAGATGCAAACTGAAGATTTTACAAGTTTGTTTTCTGCTGCTCCAGAGACTTGGAGACAGGAGCAATTTATTCAAACTACAGGAAAAGAGGTTCCACCTGGGTATTAGAACAATCCTCCTCACAGTAAGAGCTGTTCAACGGTGGAATATGCTGTGTGGTGGAGTCTTCTTCTCTGGGGATTTTTAAACAGAGACTGGGCGGCCCTTGTGGTCTCTTCCAGCTCTATGTTTTTGTGGTTCTATTTCTTCCACCTTGCTTAGTCAGTAGCAAAAATTCTCACCTGATTTTGGAAAAACTGGAACTTCATCTGGTGGCCAGTTGTTATCATCTAGGGAGGCCAGTTTGAGCTGATTAAGAGATTCAGCTGTATCTTCCAAACTCAAATCCTCTTGTAGATCAGGGTATTGTTCCATGGCTGTCAAGTTTTGACTGCTTAACCACAAAACCTGAAAAGAAAGCTGAAGAAATCCACAAATAAGCAACCTAACAATTTAAGTGTTACCCACAACCCTTATTCTGTATATTGCCCCATATGTCCTGCCCATCATTCCCTTCCTTCGTCTCTCAGTTGAGAAAGGGCTGGAGACAAAAAAAAAGTTTTCACAGAGGAATATTCCAATTCATCTCCCGTTGGTGCAGTTGCAGTCCATTTGTAGCATTTACACCAAAATGACAGGAAAAGGCAACAGATTTAGTGCTCTTCCCTGGCAGAGATACAAAATCAAATCCATCAATCAACTTGCCCAGTTAAGCTATATTCTAGAAGCATTCCCAGATATCACTAACCCCACAGATTGCCCAGGAAAAAACCAACAGTACTCCCATAATTATTATTTGTAACATGAGAAATAGAATCCTCCAAACAACTTCCTGGTATAGCAAGCAGGCAGCATACTGAAGCAACACCCTACATTACAGGAAGACCATACGATGAAAGAGAGACATAAAAGATCCAATATTCTTAAATAATTGACATTCCCATAAGATTGATAACTGTTTCTGTATTCCAGATAGTCACTTAATACACTCATCAATATAGTTAACACCATAGGATATAATATTACTAATGTTCACAAATGACCATATACTTAAAGTGAATGGAGAGATTAGTCTGCCAAGACATGAAAATAATTTTAATTACAAAACTACAAGAAACAAGGAGACTTCAGAAACCAGCCTAGGCAAAACAGTTTCTCTCAAGTAACATGATAGAAAGACACAATGGCTGTGAATAGATCCAAGGCTACATTTCATATTCCTGTGTGTGCCTCCCCTAGGACAAAGGCAAACAACAAAAACAAAGCATAGCCTTACTTCTAATGCTATGAACTGAGTTTTAAAATAGTTTCAACAGTTTTGTTGAAACTATTTAATATGTTTTAGTCTATTTAAAATATTTTACATGTTCTAAAAATCTAAACTTTGTAGTATTGATTTTGCCCGTAGGTCACCTTGAGATCTGTCCATACAGTGCAGGACACAAATACTGTACAGGTATACCCCAATTAACAAAGCAGATGTGTTTCTAAGCATTACTTCTTTAACAACTAGTCAATGACAAAATAAAGTGGAAAGCAAAGGTACAGATTCCTGTACCAAAAGAAAGAACAGCAATTCAATATTTTTCATGAATTTCTTTGTCTGAAGCTAACAATAAGTACAAGTGAAATGGAACAGCAAGCATAACTTTTTAAAAAACAAAGTAAAGTTTCTGGGTACAGTTTAAAAGATTTTCTCAAATGGTATCCAGGGGTTATTTTTCTTTTACAAGCCTCCACTTTTCTTATAATTTTCATTTTAGTGGCCAAGCATATAGATCTGTACTTATAAAGTATTCTTGGGATAGCTGCTAAGCCAGGCTGTTTTCTCCTTCTCTCTTTTTTATTTGCAGTTTATGCATGTTCACTAAGGGATTTCAGATCACCTGTTATGTACCTCACTTGTAGTAGGCAAGCACACATGTCTACAGTAGAATTGCTAAATTGGAATGACATTTTCTCCCAGCTCAAACATCCCTGCATTGTAACTGATGCAAATCAACACCAGTCCTTCTTCACCATCCTTCCAACGCGAATGCTGCAAAAGTTCCAGCTAGTCAGTCTAAAGAGAAAGGAAATAGGCATAGCAATATTTTGTTTTAAAAAAGGAGCTTCTTTCTTGGTGGCTTTGTTAACTGAGGTATGCTTTAATTAAATCAACAAATAAATATATGGAATTGAAAGTTGAAGCTTGTCAAACATTGCCCCTGGATTCCTATTTACATTTATTAAGAGGCTATTCCCAGGCTTTTACCCAAAATGTTACTGAATTTTGGGTACTGGCCAAACTGAGTGTCAAAGGGAGCTGTGATCTGTACAAGAGCTCCTCAATTTTTTTCAACGCTTACATACAGACTCTCATTGTCCTTACTCTCCAGATGGCTCTAAGCTTTTCACATTGCATTCCTGTAACCTCACAAATGAAGACATATATGGGCAGACAATGTTCAGGCCTGGAAAATCCAAAGTCTAACAACGCTCTTCTCCCAAAAGACTGGAGGACTTGCCTGACCTCAGTCAGGGCAAAGATTGGTACATTTTCCTCTTCTTAATTATTAGCTAATGTTGTAAGAACGCTTACATTGCAGCTAGACATCTGCCCTTAGCAACATACTTCAGTTTCTATGGAAACCTTAACCAGAAGTTGCAATGACTCACTTGCTTTAAAATAACTCTAGCAGCATAGAGTGCCCTCACAGTTATCCCTGGTATCAGAACATGTCCTCTACAGCAGGGCTTCATTAACTTTTTCCACTTGCTACACCTTTCCACCTGAGATTTTTTAAAGTGATACCGAGTAAATAGGTATATAAAATAGGTATTTAAATCAAACATTTATTTATAATAAATCAGCAAAACTTCCTAAATAGGCTAATTTTCCTTTTTGTGGAGTACTGTACAGCTGAAACATTTTCTGCAGACTCCACTGTAAATACTGCACATATTGCTAACAGATTTGTGTAAATGGGTGACAATCCAAAATCTTTTACTGCCGCCAAATTTTTCATGACCCTAACACTGTGCTAAAGGGACCCATTTTGAAGTCAAAACCCACAATTTAGGAAGCAATGCTCTATAGGATCATCTATTAAAAGGATGCCTTCTTTCTGCATTCCATGCCAAGAAAGAATTGTCAAACTACCAAATGGGAGAAAATTGAGAATTTACTAGACAAATGGGCACAACCCACATGGCATTGGGCTATATACAATCATGGAGGCATTAGAATACGTATGTCTGTCACACTGCTAAATTGATCATAACAACTCAAACACTATAAGTAAAAATTCATTCAACCACAAAAATACTAATTTTCAGTAGAAGTAGCTCATATTTCAATAGAGAAAATGTAAACTGTTTACTTTAAGCCTTCCGTTTACATCTGGTCTTTGTTAGAAGACAGACAAAATCAAAACGCGTTTTTAAGTTCTCCTTTTTTCCCCCTTAGCCATGAAACATCCACATTTAAATTTGCAATGGGGGAAACTAATTGGTCAGGACTCTCAGGGATCTATTTTGGAATCAATGTTTTTTGCTTCGTGCATAATCTATCTAGAATAAGGATTTAGTCAAAGGCCAAACTTTTTTGAAGTGATATATAGTGATATATAGTGAAATGTAAAGATACAAGGGGTGAGACAAGGATTATGCAGTGTGAGATTAATGCCACTGCCTCATGAGAAAAGCACGCCCTTGCTTTTTCTTCATATCACCAGCAACTGCACTGATTCAACAATATAGTAACAACCAGGTTGTTTTGAGCTTCTGGGGTTACGATAACTGCCAAATATTCTCAATGCAGTGTTAGATGTTGTAGATAAACACAATGATTAATGAAGTATGGACCACCGTAGGAAAAAAACAGAAAAGTTAAGCCAAGGTAGTCTTTGTCATAGTTCCCCTTCCCCCACCAGTTGCCAACCAAAGTCAAACAACAGCCACTCCCAAGCAAAGCCATCTGTTCAGTGCCCAGACCTGGGTCAGGTGACAGGCCTAGAAAAATAGCATAACTTCCCTGCCAGAATGCAAATTTGCTACTCTGAGCATGCCAAAGCCTTCCAAAGGTTCAGCAGATACGGTATGTCTGGAGATATTGCGATAAATCTATTCACTGGTGTGGGGAAGAATATCACATTTATAATGCAGTATGCCACACATTACTAAGGGTACTCCAGGACTTTAGATTACATTCATTTCTTGCAAGTTCAATGGGCATGAGATAATTCTTAAAGGATGGTATGCTTCTGGTATGGTCTTTTATATCAGATAAGCTTTTGTTGAAGATCCAGACTAAATGTGCCAAACAGCTGCTGGGCAGCAGGAGCAGTATTGGGGGATGAGATTGGCAAAGGAATTCTCAGACACCAAAACTTCATTAGCATTGCACAAACCCCATTTTGAAGATTTTACCACTATGATGAAGCAATCTAAAATGAAATAAGACACAATGCCAGAAGGTGCAACTCTCAGGTAGGATGGCACTCAATGATCTTCTGGGATACAGCAGAGGACAATTATGAGAAGCACCATGGCTAATGATGAACTTGGTCTCAGATTGAAAGAATGTTCAGTTGTTGCGCTCAGAGGCAAAAGGAAATTCCAAAGCTGCACAACATGTATTATAGGGACATGGAAGGTGAATAACACAGATCAGTAAATAGTAGCACAAGAAATGCAATGTATAAACACTGCAATACTTGAGGTGAGTGAACAAAAATAGAAAGGAATAGGACATTTTGAATCAGGTAATTACTATAATGCAAGGTCTGACCAAATCATGTCAATACAATTTCAGGGAAAATACATGAAAGAATATCTAAGTTTGTGCTCCAATTACAGAGGCAGAAGAAGAAAAAATACAGCTGGAATCTAGTAGGAAATTGATCACAAACCAAAACATCAGAGGCAACTAGAATGCAAAAATAAGAAACAGAGCAGAATCAAAGATTACAGGAAAACCTGGCCTAGGGTCAAGAAATGAAGCAAAAGACAAAATGAATGCAATATCAACAGCTTGTTCATCACAAACATATTCCTCAAGCAATTCAAGAAGTGATTGTATACACAGACATTACATGATGACCAAAATAGAAATCAAATATATATAACAGGAAGCTAGAGGTACAAAAACAAGACCAGAAACTTATTACAGCACAAACCATGAACTGCTAATATAAAAAATTAAAGTAAAGCTAAAGAAGAAAACATCATGCCAAAAATACCAGCTAAATAACATGCCTGAACAATTTAAAGATAATGTGAAAATAGATTTGCAGTTTTAAGCTTAATTGTCCAGGAGCCGGAACAACTCTGTAATGAAGACAGGGACACTGTCAGAGAGGAATATAAAAATACATTGTTTGTAGTTTTGTTTTTGTTTTTTAAAAGAGCAACCTCAGCTTTAAGCAGTCAATCAAGTCAGATCCACGAATACAACTAACAACCTGTGTGCAGGGACAAAGAGAAATACAGTAATAATCATGCAAAGAAATCAAAAGTGACCATACCAACAAAAGAAAAAGAGGCCTCATTCACAATCTCTAGAAATCAAAATAAATAGTGTGGATCTCTATGAGCAGCAAGGCAATACATCATATGACCAAGTAAGTATAGAAACAGTACACAAAAGAACCATAGAAAAGAGAAGAAAGAACCACACTAAGATGAACCTTCAGTTTTAGAAAGTGAAATGGAAGCTGCACTCAAAGCACTTGGGAGAAATAAATCATCAGAAACAGAGAGCATACCAATAGAGCTGATTCAGGCTAGAGACAGAATATACTGTAGTTCTAATTAAAATTTATCAACCAATACAGAAAATGAAAGAATGGTCCATAGATTGGAAACACTCGATATATATCGCAATTCCCAAAAAAGGGTACACCAGAGATTTCTGTGCATATTTATTTATTTATTTATTTATCATGTCAGGGGCAACCAGACAATTGTATTACATTTATAACAGAACAAAACAAACAAACAGACAGACAAAACACAAAATTTGCAAGCTTGGTAGTTGATTAAATGTCCTTTGACCAGTATCTGGCCACTTGGAGTGCCTCTGGTGTTGCTGCAAGAAGGTCCTCCATTGTGCATGTAGCAGGGCTCAAGTTGCATTGCAGCAGGTGGTCAGTGGCTTGCTCTTCACCACACTCGTATGTCGTGGATTCCACTTTATAGCCCCATTTCTTGAGATTGGTTCTGCATCTCATGGTGCCAGAGTGCAGTCTGTTCAACGCCTTCCAAGTCACCCAGTCTTCTGTGTGCCCGGGGGGGGGGGGGAGTCTCTTATTTGGTATCAGCCACTGGTTGAGGTTCTGGGTTTGAGCCTGCCACTTTTGGACTCTCACTTGCTGAGGTGTTTCAGCGAGTGTCTCTGTAGATCTTAGAAAACTATTTCTTGATTCAAGTCGTTGACGTGCTGGCTGATACCCAAACAAGGGATGAGCTGGAGATGTCACTCCCTTGGTCCTTTAACTATTGGCTGCTACTTCCCGGCAGATGTCAAGTGGTGCAATGGGATGAGCTGGAGGGATGAGCTGGAGATGTCACTCCCTTGGCCCTTTAACTATTGGCTGCTACTTCCCGGCAGATGTCAAGTGGTGATAAACAGTGTAATTTCTACAGTGGTGTAGGAGCAGACACCCCGTGATAATGCGGCATGTCTCATTAAGAGCCACATCTACTGTTTTAGCATGGTGAGATGTGTTCCACACTGGGCATGCATACTCAGCAGCAGAGTAGCATAGCATACACCAGAGATTTCTGTGCATTAATCCACTGTATTAACCACAGGTCCATGCAAGCAAACTGATGCTCAAAATTCTCCAACAAAAATCTATCATATAGGGACCAAGAAATGCCAGATGTTCAAACTGGGTCATGTTTCAAAAATAATGGAGTGTACCAAGGTACACAAAAATAAACCTATTATTTCTAGATTACAGAAAAGTCTTTGATTCTATAGATCATGAAAATTATGGATGGCTCTTAAAGAAATGTGTGTGCAACTTGATTTGTCCTTATGCATAACCTATACTTAAGACAAGAGGGTACTTTTAGCACAGAATAGATAGAAATGGAATGGGTTCCAATTAGCAAGGCTGCATTTTATCACTCTGTTTTACTTGTATGCTGAACATATAATATGTAAATCAGGATTAGACTTAGAAGAAGAAGGCATGAAAATTGGAGAAAGGAAAACCAATTTATAGTAATATCATACTAATAAAAGAAATTTGCAAAGACATGGAACATTTACTTTACTGAAGAAAGTCAAAGAAGAAGGTACAAAGGCAGGTTTCCAGTTGGACATTAAGAAAACAAAAATAATGACTTTAAGATCTACTTAAAGTTAAAGTCAATGAAGAAAACACTAGAATAGTTCAAGATTTTTCATAACTTAGTTCAGACGTTAATCAAAATGTAAATTGTTGTCAATAAATCAGAAGAAAATTAGGATTAGAAGGGCAGCTATGAAGGGATTAGAGAAGTGTCAAATATATCACTGAACAATAAAGTTAGGATTGTCTATGCCATCCTACTCCCTATTTGTTTGTATGCATATGAAAGCTGGACAGTGAAGAAAGCAGACAGGAAGAAAATTAAGCTATCTAAAATGTTGTAGGAGAGTTCTATGAATGGTTGAAAATACAAATAAATGGGTTCTAAAACAAATCAAACCTGACCTCCCCCCTAAAGGCCAAGGTGAGTAAACTGAGACTATTGTACTTTGGATATATCATGGAAGACATGACTCACTAGAAAATACAATAATGCTTGGTAAAGTGGAGGGCAATAAGAAAAGAAGAAGACTGCATTCTAGACTCAATGAAGGAAGCTATCACTTTATTGGTGACAGGTGAAAAAGCTATCTCATTCATGGAGTCTCCTTAAGTCGAAGCTAACTTATAGCAATTAACAACAACTTGCCACAGAAGCAATGCAGAACAGCCCTAATCAGATTCATAACAGTTAATAAAAGAGAATACTATTTAAGATGGCCAAATTGATATAGGTCAACTAGCACTAAGATGCATGTTAGGATTACACAGTTCAAACTCCTCTCACTTCAGAAAGTGAGTAAAAAAGAAAGCATTATGTGAGGAAGTTGCTGTCACTCTCATTGATATAAAAACTTTGTACTTCCCTTCTTAGCAAGTCATGCCATTCAGCTCTGTTCATGCTTACTCAGAAATAAAACCCACATTGTTCAAAGGCAGGTTTGTTTATTTTTACATAAAGGTGCACAAGATTAATGTTTTAGAGACATGGAACTGGATCGGAGAATAACTTAGTTCATGAGGAAACAGCTTCTCATCCAAGAAAGCCATACAGAAAATGGGGTGGGGGGAAGTGACATGTGTATGAGGGGAAGGGAGGAAAGGAAAAAAGAGAAAAAGAATGGAAAGCAAGGGAGAAGTAAGAAAGAAAAATGAGGGGAGGAAGGATGAGAGGGGAAAGGTATTGGGGAGGGAAGGAAGAAGGGACAAAGAAAGTGAGGGAAGAAAGAAAAAAGGAAGAGGAAACGAAGGAAGGAAGGAAGGAAGGAAGGAAGAAGAAAGAAAGGTATGTGGTTGAATACAAGGGAAGAAAGAAAGAAAAGAGAGAGGAAGAAGGTGTATGAGGGACAGATAGGGAGGAAGGAAAGAAAAAAGTCACAAAGGAAATGCAAACCTGGGCAATGGCTGGGATTATAAGGGGATATTGCATAAAATTACTTTCTGGCTATGTATACAAGGCATATATGAAGCATTAATGAATTTCAGGGCCCTTCCAAACAGATCTATATCCCAGGGCCCTTCCACACAGAATATCAAGGCAGAAAATCCCACAATATCTGCTTTGAACTGAGTTATTTCAGTCCACACTGCTATATATTCCAGTGCAAAGCAGATATTCTGGGATATAGGGCTGTGTGAAAGGGCCCCCAGAAAATCAAGGAAGAAAATCCCACATGATCGGCTTTGAATTGGGTTATCTGAGTCCACACTGAGATAATGTGGGATTTTCTGCCTTGATATTCTGGGATATAGGGCCGTGTGGAAGGCCCCCCAGTCCACACTGCCATATATTCCAGTTCAAAGCAGATCACGTGGGGTTTTATACAGCTGTGTGGAAGGGACCTCAGCCTTGGATCCCAGGCCTCAGATATCTCATTATGTACATACATGTAAATAGAGGAGCTCCAAAAGCTGGGGAGGAAATCCGAAAGACTTCTGATCCCAAGCCCTTCAGATAAGGGTCAGCCAACCCGTACAAGAGAGAGGCCTACAGGCAGCAGCCACTGTCTTAATACAGTAACACTCACGGATACAGAGGGAAGAGAAAAGCCCTTCGGCCCTTTCTGGGCAGCGCCAGGCCCTCCTCCGAAGGTAGACCCAAAAGAGAACTACGTAACGACCTGTTTGCAGCGCGCCCCCCCCCCGCGCATGCGCCCTCGCGACGCTTTCCCTCAGCAAACGCGGGGCACGCGCCCCGGGCCAGGCACGGAGCACAGGCTCCCCTCCTGGGAAGGAAGGAAGGGAGAGAAAGGGGGCGCTTACCTCAGATCCCTGTCATTTATCTCAGGGGGAGGAAACCAACCGGGCCCCTTCGGCCACGCAGACACCACGCAGAAGCACAGAGCGGCCGCCAACTCCCACAGACACTCCTTTCGCTCGCCACCAGCCGCTCCCGCCTGTCAAACTCTTTCGCAAACATCCGCTTCTGAACCGGAAAACGAGCCGGTCGCCATAGAAACAGCGCCCCGCCTCCTTTCGACAACAGGAGAGTGAGAGAGAGTGGCGAGGGGAAGGAAATAGGTCCGGGCGGAAACCAGGGCTGCCTGAGCTCAAGGTTCCGCCATGGAGGAGCAGATTCCTCAGCGGAGTGAGAGACTTTTCTGGCCCGAGGGCGGCAGGGGCTGTTTTTCTGGGTTCCTCTGATTAACCCTCTGGTTCTTCTCCCTTAGAGGACGCGAGGAGCGACGAGGCCTGCTGCTGGTGCTTCTGCGGCCTAGTGCGGCGCCTTCCGCGGGGCCTGGCCTTGGGCCCGTCGCTCTCCGCCGAAAGGGGCGCCGGGGTCTGGTGCGTCGGCCGCGCCCTTCAGCCGGGGGAGACGCTGCTGCTGCTGCTGCGGAAGGAGGAGGAAGGGCCTCGGGAGGTGAGCGGCTCGAAGGGGCCGAGGGTCTTCGGGGCATCTACACCAGGCAGGGGCAAACCTCGGGGTGATAGCATAATAGCCTTACGAAGATGCCGCATCGCTCCTTCGGGAAAGCAGTTTGCGGAAGAGAGACCTAGCTCATGTAAGCCAGGCCGGAGACAGAGAATATAGAAGGAATGTAAGAGTTCTTTAATGGTGAAACCCTAACCCTGCCTGAACCGTACCTTAAGCCTAAGCCTGACCCCTTACTCAGACCCAAACCCTAAACCTTGTCTTAACGCTATACCGTACTCTAACGGTAACCCCTATTTATTTATTATTTATTTATTTAAAACATTTATATTCCGTCCTTCTCACTCCGAAGGGGACTCAGGGTGGAGCACAGCATATACATGGCAAACATTCAATGCCGGGACACAAATTCACATATAATACATAAACATTAAAAAAATATATCAAAATATTAAAACACGCCATTTAAAACGGTCCTAGTCATCCACATCAAATCTAATATTTTGGCCTGGTCATCTTTCCTATTGCCGCTTTATTGCCCTGTCCCGAATGCTTGGTCCCACAGAAAAGTTTTTACCATCCTTCTAATAGACATGAGAGAGGGGGCCAACCTGATCTCACCAGGAAGGGAGTTCCATAGCTGGGGAGCAATCACCGAGAAGGCCCTGTCTCTCATCCCCACCAATCATGCCTGTGACAATGACGGGACGGAAAGCAGGGCCTCCCCGGAGGATCTTAATCTCAGTGATGGTTCATAGGGGGAGATGCGTTCGGACAGGTAATTTGGGCTGGGGCTAACCCTTACCCTAACCGTAACCCAAACCCTAAACTTTGCCCTAACCCTTACCCTAAGTGTCCCCTCCTTTCTATCCTTCCTTTGCTCTCCCCGCTCTCACTCCACCCTCTCTCTTCCCTTATTCACAGCCATCTTTGCGGCATCTCCATAACACTTGGCGCTTCCGGACCCAGCTATCATACCTTCTCCACAGTCTTAATCCAACCCTGCTGGCTCTCCAGACATCCCTACTACCCCTGGAAACGAGGCCAGGGCTTCCCCCTGATCACATTTCCAGGATGCCTGGAAAGTCAGTAAGGTTAGACTAGGACTCTGGAGACCAGGGCTAGAATCCTTGCAGGCCCTAGAACCTTGCTGGGCGATCCTCAGCAAGTTCCACTCTCCCAGCCTCAGAGCAAAGCTCTTCCGAACAAATCTCATCAAGGAAACCCTGTGAGAAGGGTGTCTTAGGGTCGCTGTAGGTCCAAAGTGACTGGAAGACACACAACACAGCAGAAAGGGCAACTAGGATGGGAGAGGGATGCATGAACCTATCTTGAGTCCCCAAAGCAAAAGATATAAAGAGAATTAAAATAAATAAATGAAAGGTCTTGAACAGTTCAAGAAAGGAGAACAGTGAGATGAGGGGAAAGGCAAGGGAAAATGCCATAGTCACATGCTGGGTTTGAGGAAGATTTATTGTTTGGGAAATTGGCCACTGATACAGCAAACACTTCTGAATTCAAGGCCCCTGAGTCTAAAACATAAGTACACTTTGGCAGAAGGGGATCAAGGCCTCTTCAAAGCCATACTCCACTTTGGAGCACTCCTCCTTTCTTTTTCACTTTAGCCCATAGAATTGCTCACCTAAAGGTTGTCACCTGTCGTGTTTCAGTGGGGCAAATGTAGGAGCAAGTCTCTCCTCATAGGTCCAAGTCAAATTGGGGAGCAAAGCTGGAACCCTTATTGGCTAAAGGATAGCAGTGTCAGTCTTTCAACCAGGCTAGTGCTGTCTGTATGACAGAAAGAGGTTTACTTCTTGCTACCTTACCAGAGCAACCTCAGCCTTCCAGGCGTTTTGGACTTCTACTCTCACAATTCCTAATAGCCTCAGACTCCTTCCTTTCCTTTTCTTTCCTTTCCTTTCCTTTCCTTTCCACTTAAGGGGCTGAGGGGGAAAAGGAAAGGGGCTGAGGTTGTCAGGGATTGTGGGAGTTGAAGTCCAAAACACCTGGAGGGAAGAGTGAGGTTTGCCCCTGTGTGGTTACACCCACCTTATTGCATACAATAAACTTCTCTAATTGGGGCCCTTTTTCCATTTCAGTCGTTCCCTTCAAGCTGCTGGAAAGACTGTTCCCTTTGCAGCAGAAAATCAAACTGGAGGAGGTAAGGAGAACAAGAACACCTGGGTAATGTACAATCATCTTCACAGTCTTCTCAGACCATTTCACACATCAGACAATGTGGACTCTTGGGTAGGATTGTTTCAAACTAGAGTGAGCCTGTAGGACTGATTCATATGACCAGTAGGTGGTGTACAGCCATCTTCTCCTTGCCCGAAAAGGATAGTCATATAGTTGGAAGGCACCCCATCTGGTCCAACCTCCTTCTGCCCTGCAAGAAAGAGCATAATCAAAGCACCCCTGAAAGATGGCTATCCAGCCTCTGCTTGAAAACCTCCAGAGAAGGAGATTCCACCACACTGCAAGGCAGCAGCATATTCTATTGCTGAATGGCTTTTGCCATCAGGAAGTTCTTCCTAATGTTTAGATGGAATCTCTTTTTCTGCAATTTGAATCCATTGCTCCATGTCCTGGTCACCAGAGAAGCAGAAAACAAGCTCCACCCCCCCCCCCCCATCAATGTGGCCATCATTATTATCTTGTGGGTCTGTAGCAGCTTTTTCAGGAGTGGCCTTTCCCTGGAACAGTCAACAACTCTGTGTTAGTTGTAATCAGCCAGAGTGACAAAGATCTAATACGTAAATGCATGTTCAAATTACCTTAAGCATCTAGGCAATATACTTAGTCGCTTTCAACTGAAATTGAACAACATTAAATACCTCGGTGCTGGAGATTTGATACCATGTATGTATATATGTGTATGTATATATGTGTGTGTGTGTGTGTGTATATGTGTGTGTGTATACATGTGTATATGTGTGTGTGTGTGTGTGTGTGTATATATATGGTTTGGATTGCATAAGGAAGGGTTAACAGTCCTGTGGTGTTTGTTTTGCTCTCTGTGCCCCTCTTTGGAAGATTTTGCCTCACTTTTTGTCCTTGTGATAATTGGATTTTGAAAAGAAAATTACCTTGTTGTGGAAGCAAGATTGGGGATAAAGCTTCAGTGGAGACACCTTTTTCCCATGATAATTCTTTCAGGAGTGGATTTCCCTTCCTAGGGGTAGATTTCTCTCACTTCCTGTTGTCTTAGCCCCTTCCTAATTATGGGTCATTAGTAAGTCTAATGTTTCCAAGGAGGGAACTACCTGTTTAGAAATTCAGCTTACTCTCTGCACATTCTTTCTGTCACCACTAGGAGCTGATCTGTCCAATTTCTGTGTTTTTGTTGTTACCCTAATGTTTTTCTCATGTTGAAAAAAAATCATCTGTGCGGTATGCCAATAGTCCAACAACCATTTTATAATTTTGTAAATAGACAGCTCTTGAGTAGCTTTCCTATCCTGTCTGCATTGGTTATAATTTTCCTCCCAAAGCTGCAATATAGCTTTTCACTCCATATGAATGGCTTCCATCTTCTAGTGATGGAGACTTCAAATCCCTCTCCTGCAAGCAGCTACCAAGCTCCAAGACAATTTAATGTGTAGAAGGGAGGGGAGAGTAAGCAGCCAGTGTCTACCCAAATTGTAGTTCTGCAGCCAAAGAAAGGGAAATAAGGTTGCTGTCCCGGAGCCAAAATGGCCAGTTTGGGAATTACCTGGTCACCTTCCATCCTCTCCCTCTCAGCACGTAAACTGCCTTGGTAACATCCTTGGAATTTGACAAATGCCTTGGAAGTGGGATGGGTGTAGCATGAGAGGTCAATTGATAGATTCTTAGACAATATTGCAAAAAAAAAGAAAAAGACTTATATATATGAATAACCTGCAATTCAGCAAAAGCTAGAGCGCCACAAATTGCAAACTATATTGATAAATTGCTTTGTCTTTGCACCAAGCAGTTTTCACTTAACAGGACCTTCAAAACAAAAGTCAGCCAAGTTGACTTTTCCAGAAGATTACTCCTTGATTGTCCAGATCTCTTAGTTTCTATATTACATCTACACCATCCCATCACTCACATATGCATGGCCATTCTTCTGATGCCTCTACAAGCTTATCCTCCTTTGAAAATCCAGTATTTTTTAATTGAACCTGAATCTGCTACTAATAATCAACTTGATATGTTTTACAGCCTGGTGAAGCAAAGTCAGGATAAAGAAGGGGCAAATGTGACATTAGTATGGATTGGTGAGGAGCTCCATATCCATGTAAGCCGCCCTATTGATGCTGGCACTGAATTGTTGTATTGGTTAGAAGAGCCCAAGGCCAATCCTGTTTGCTTGGAAACAAAAACACTGGTGGCTGCATCAGATGGAGGACTTCTCATAGAGGGAAAAAAGCTACAAGAGCAAATAACAGCAGCAGTGACCAAGACCACAAATGGAGAGGCTGTGATGCAACGAGGAGATGCATCCCTGATTGGGAATGACGTAGATTCCATTACAGGTACTGTATTTGGAAATCCAAAAAGCATATCATCAAAGGGACTTTTAATTATTCTAGTACAGGCCAGCACAACCTGTGACCCTCCAGGTGTTTGGGATTCAGGCTCCCAGAAGCCCTAGCCAGCTTGTCCAATGGTCAAGAATTCTAGAAGCTGGTCCAGATCACATGGAGGGCCACAGGTTGTGCAGGCCCACTCTAGATAAATATAGGAAATACTTTGAAAATTTACTTTACAGAATTCTAACACGTTTTGCCTAATATTGATTCTAAATTTATCTTGGAAAACTTTTATATAGGCCTCATCTACACTGAGCATTTAATGTGGTTTGAAGCGAGCTTCAAACAATGGTGGCAAGACAACAAAAGTGCATGAAAGAAAGCACTTGATGCACACCAGTGCCCTGAGGTTTGTGTAAACATAATCCAGGCCTCAAAGTGGTTCCAGGATTTCCTATGTAATCATCCACACAGCGAAAACACTTTCTTCATTACTGGCTTGAAACTGAAATCAGTGCTCAGCATCGATGGTGCCATAGAGAATGTATAAGCAAGCAAAAAAGAAAGGCAAAATGCAAACAAAACCTGATTGCTTTTATACATTTTTGAAACTAGAAGCTCTATGGTAGAAGTCATTGAAATTTCTATCCCGTGAAACCAGCCATGTGTTTTTCTGTATATACTTTCTCTTGTTGGTAATAAATTATGCTGTACCAATGATTCATAACCACAAGAGGTTGGTTTTCCAAAGAGATTTTGACTTGATCTGAAAGAATTTACGATTTCATAAGTTAAGTGCTAAGATGTTTAACACATACCATATTCCAAATTTCTGTCCATTGACTTGTATTTTGCTCAAATGCACTGGCCAGTGCGATGCTTATAAGTAGTGCTTTTATTATAATTGCTGGCAATAGCCATATGTTGAAGAAGCACACTTCATGAATCAGAATGTTTCTTGGTCATTCCAGAGCGTGCATAATAACGTATCTAATGATATATCTACATTGTGAAACAAGGCTCATTTAAATGACCGTGGCTTCCTAGAAAGGAACATGGAAATTGTGGATTAATGAAGTGCAGAGGCCCTATCATGTCTTACCACCTACCATTTCCAAAGTTTTTCTAACCCTGTGTATAGATGTGCCTTAATATGACATATGTCTGTGAACTATAAACTAATAGCTGAATGCTCGTATTGGGTGCCACTCACAGATTCCTCCTGTTTTTTATCCTGCATTTATCTGCAATCTCTACAATCTATGATTAGTTCAAGGAGATTGTGTCCCTGACCTCATCAGATACATGGCTACCTCTTAACTAATCTTGGCACTTCTGCACTTTCTCATGTACTGTACATTCATAGACAGAAACACATCGCCTTTGAAGTTATTCTGTATGTGTGTGTCACTATAAGAATGTTCTTGGATTTATGTATCATGTCAGAAACAAATTAGGTACCATTATAATGTATTTAAAACACAAACCAAGTTAAAACTTGGCATTATGCTAAATGTCATTTGACCAGAAACTATAGACGGCTGATTCTCTCACACTAGAAGTTGCTTGCAGCATGTTCTTGGATGGAAGCGAAGAGACCAACTTCATTCTGCTTGTGGCAATTAAAGGAAAATGCCTGGCACCATCACCACAAATGTGAGATCAAGTTGCTTCACAGTGGCCGTTATTAGTTTTTCTTTTAAAAATACACAAAATCACAAAGCTTGCAAAAATAGTGCACATTATAACACTGCTTTTTAATTTTTCTGTAGCATTATATTAAATTATGCTACAAAATTCTTTGGAAAAATTAAATGGTTAAAAGGGAAGTTACAATGTAACTTATTGTAGCAATTTCTTTCATCTATATATGCCTAAAAGGCAAAGAGGCAGCCCCCAAGTTACGAATAAGATAGGTTCTGTAGCTTTGTTCTTAAGTTGCATTTGTATGTAAGTCAGAACAGTGTAACTTTAAAGTGTAACTCCATATATAGATATATATCGCTTTGGATCACATCGTGAAGAGTGGACACCCCAACGGTGTTTGTTTTGCTGTCTGTGTCCCTGTTCAGAAGATTTCACCTCTCTTTCGGTCTCTTTGATAATTTGATTTTGAAAACTTTGTCTTGTGGAAACAAGAATTGGTGATAAAGCTTCAGTGGAGACACCTTTTCCCCATGATAACTCTTTCAAGAGTGAATTTCCCTTCTGAGGGGTAGATTTCCCTCGCTTTCTGCTGTCTCACCCCCATTCTTAACTATGAGTCATTTGTAAGTCAGATATTTGTAACTTGGGGACTGCCTGTATATGTAGGAAAAGGAAGCACTCGCAAATATTCAGTTTCAGAAAATAGGTTCCAGCTTCTACAGCTAAAGGCCATGCTGGATAGGAAGATTTGGGAATTGTCTAAAAAATACCATTCCAAAGCCCTGGGAAAAATTGGCTTCCAAATTTGAACGGCCACACAGATTCAGCTTCAGCAGATGCTAATGCAGTCTTTCTGCAATCTTAAACTTTTAGGGTATTACTAATCCAAGTAGAATATTTTATCTATGTCTGTTCATTTTCATATTCTCAGAAGTAATGCTTCGATCTCCAAGGGCACTCCTTAAATCTATACATTAATAATAATAAACCTTTATTTATACCCCGCTGCCATCTCCCACAGGACTCAGTGCGGCTTACAAGAGGCCGAGCCCAAATACATCAGAAACAAGAAACACAACAACAGCAATACAACAATAAATAACTCATAGCAAAGCAAAACAATAACAAAAATATCACGACTCATTTAAAAACCTGTGGCAGGGCCAAATGTAATGGTTAATTTTTTTTTAAATGCTGGGCATGTCCAGGTGAAATAGGATGGATATTTTAGGGATAAGTGGGTGTGCAGACAATTCTAATTCTCTCGTAAAGTGCATTTGGGACAAATTGCTTGGGATACCTTAATCTGGGAAGGCACACTGGAACATCCATGTTTTCAAGCCACATGTTTTGTGGCAAAGGTCATGAGCTGAGGGGGCAGTTCATTAAAATAAAGAGGTTTTCTTTTGATGTAACACTAATTGTCTTGTTACCCTAATAAGGAAGCTAACAGTTACTGGTTCAAATCTGCAGGAGCTCCTGATACACCCAAGGTTGTGGAGCAGACAGCAAGATCCCCTAGGCTGGAAAAAATGCTGTTGGATAAACGGCTCCTTGGACTGGATGATGGTCACAAGAAAAGGAATGAAAACTGGGCCCTGCAATGTGTGCAGAAGGAGACCAACCCACAAAGTGAAAAGAGCCAGCCTGTTCTGAGCTGCCCTGCAGAAGAGGTGGCAAAGGAAGAGGTGTTTGAGCCAGATTCTCAGGCTGATAACATGACCTTGACAGAGTCAAAATTGAGTACAGTTTATTCACAGACACCCTTGTGCAATGTAGTCTGCCTTGATACTCATTTAATTGAGAAGCCTCAGAAGCTGAAAAGCCAGTCTAACACTGAAGAGCTTCCTGATGCTGGGAGCATGTCCACACCCAAATACAAGGTAAGGAAGCAGGAGGAGAATCCCAAACTGAAAGAACAGCTTCATTGTGAAATAATTGCTTCTTCTCAGCTAAAGGGGACAGGCAGTAAGCGACGGCACCAGTGCGAAGAATGTGGTAAAGCCTTCATGCAGCTTTGCCACCTGAAGAAACATCGTTTTATACACACGGATCATAAACCATTTCTGTGCACGGAGTGTGGCAAGAGCTACAGCTCAGAAGAAAGCTTCAAAGCCCATATATTAGGCCACCGTGGGGTGCGGCCTTTCGCCTGTCCACAATGCCATAAGACCTATGGCACTAAGCGCGACCTTCAAGAACACCAAGTCCTGCACACAGGCCTGCGCCCTTTTGCCTGCCCTGACTGTGGGAAGTCCTTTGCCCGCCGGCCCTCTCTCCGTATCCATCGTAAAACACACCAGACCAAAGAGCCCAGCCCTTCTGCCACAGCCACCTGCCAATGTGTGATATGTGGACGGCACCTGGCCAATCCTGGCTCGCTACGCAACCATATGCGGCTTCACACAGGTGAGCGACCCTATGCTTGCCCCTACTGCCCCAAGTCTTTCCGCCAGCAAGGCAATCTGCGGGGACATCTCCGCTTGCATACGGGGGAGCGTCCTTACCGTTGCCACTTCTGCGGAGATGCCTTTCCACAGCGCCCTGAGCTACGCCGCCACCTGATTTCCCACACAGGTGAGGCCCACCTCTGCACAGTATGTGGAAAGGCACTGCGGGATCCCCACACTTTAAGGGCTCATGAGCGGCTGCACACAGGTGAGCGGCCTTTTCGCTGCCATCTCTGTCCCAAATCCTATCCTCTTGCCACAAAGCTACGGCGGCATCAGAAGACCCACCATGGTGACAAGCCCCACCAGTGCAACATTTGTAGTATGGCCTATGCCCTCCCTCAGAGCCTGCGGCGGCATCAACTTGAACACAAGTGCAACCCTGGCAAGGATCCATCCCGATCTGGTGGTAAGGGCTGTTGGGAGAGGCCATCTTCGGAGCAGGCCTCTGTGCTGGTCCTGCACTCAGTAGACATGGCAGTGCCCAGGCACAAAGCTGAATTCCTTGTCAACAAGGACATCATGGAGATTGCGCTTTCAGATGCTGAGGAAGAATGCATCGTTGTGCAGGAGCAGAGCTCTTCTGGGGATATGTTCATCATTGAGGAGGGTGTTGGATTTAGCACAGTGGCTGAGGTGATTGAGGTCGAGGTGGGGACGTGATTGCCAGTCTTGGTATAGATAACTTGAAAACATGATACAGATGTTGGAATGCATTCATTCTGTGCCTTTTAAGAGGCATCATGAGAGTCAAGAAATGCATATTGGATTGTTTAGAATCATAAAATCATAGCATTGGAAGAGACCATAAGGGCCGTCAGGTCCAACCCCCTACTATGAAAGAAAACGCTTAACTTTTTTGTGGCAAAGACTGGCTGATTATGTTTGGCCAAAACTGATTTATTCCCAAAGACTGCAAGACTGAATGACAGGGCTGTGTAATAGGTCTGAGATCCTTCTCAGAGGTTTCAAATTCTGGACTGCTCTGGGTCTATAGCATAAGATGTGGCAGATCTTTACAAAAGCCACATTGCACTGGTAAACCATACAAACTTTAAGCACCTTGTGTGTTTTATGTTAATTGTGTCCCTCCATGTAAAATTACTGGTGTTTCAATGCAAACAAAATGTGCCATGTCATCAAATTATGTATTTAATTGCATATATTGAAACAGTGATGTGGAAACATGACTACATGGTGGCACTGATTTGATAGTTTCAAAGATAGCATGTGCATTATGCTTGAGATCATGGTGACTATAGTACAAAATGTTTATTTTAAAATCAACCAATCATTGGTATTAGTACGAGATCACTTCTTGCTCTGTTGTCTTACACTGAAACCAAATGTTATAGCCAACGTTTTACCACTAATGACTAAGGGCCTTCCACAGAGCCCTATATATCCCAGAATATCAAGGCAGAAAATCCCATAATATTTGCTTTGAACTGGGTTATGTGAGTCCACACTCAGATAATGTGGGATTTCCTGCCTTGATATTCTGGGATATAGGGCTGTGTGGAAAGGGCCCTATATCTTTCTAGCTCATCCCCAGCTAAGGATGGTTCAGGTTTTTCCCTCATCAAATAAGTCAAAATAAGCAGAGAAGGGTTTTTTTTAGAAGTAACTGTTTTCCATACAACCCCTACTTACAAGTATACAGTAGAGTCTTGCTTATCCAACATAAAGGGGCCAGCAGAACATTGGATAAGTGAAAATGTTGGATAATAAGGAGGGATTAAGGAAAAGCCTATGAAATGTCAAATTACGTTTTGATTTTACAAATTAAGCACCAAAACATCATGTTTTACAACAAATTGACAGAAAAAAGAGTTAAATACACGGTAACATTATGTAGTAATTACTATATTTATGAATTTAGTACCAAAACATCATAATGTATTGAAACAGTTGTGGATACGGGCAGGAGGCAGACTGCGTTGGATAATACAAAACGTTGGATGAGCGAAGGTTGGATAAGTGAGATTCAACTGTATTTAAAAGCAGATATTTAAGTCCAATAGGAGATAAAGGTTTCTTTCTTACTTCTGGTCCTATTTAAGGTATGAGGATTATTGTCAGCCATAGATCAGTTAATGCTAAAGAGAAGCTCATATTCACTAACATGGAAATAGTATGTTCAATCCACTACTGCATAGGACACGTCTTTTGTTGGATTTGACTGCTTCACACTGCAGGCAAGAGAAAAAAACACATTACAGTATTTAATTTCATGCACATAGCATTACAATGATGTCAAGGGGGAGTATCATTGTCTCTGTGCAGGTTGAATATCCTTTTTCCAAAAGACTTGGATCAGAAGTGTTTGGGATTTTGGATTTTTTCCAGATTTTGGAATATTTGTATTGGCATATGTGCATATAAATAGATATCTAGACGATGGGACCCAAGTCTTAAAATGAAATTAATTTATGTTTTATATGCACCTTATGCACATAACCCAAAAATAATAATTATACAATATCTTAATAATCTTGTCCATGAAAGAAAGGACTTTACTGCACAAGGTCCTGGAAGCATTATAACCCATCCTTGTTGAGAACTGGAGCATATCAGGTTAGCCATCACACGTTCTTTGACGAACGCTCTTTTAAGTTAGTGCTCCATCTCAGCTGTAACTTGCCCCAACCTGTGCTTTGCCCCTCACTGTCCATGCCCTTTTTTTGTACCAGAAGAATTGTATAACTCCAGAATTTGAGTCACACTTGCAAGAATTCAACCCTCCAAGACTTAGTCTCTGAGCAAGTTTCAGTTGTACTGTTAATTACTTCCACATTTCCCAAGTGTACACAAGCACTCTTCTGCCTAATGCATATTTTTTAAAAAGTCAATTTTGCAATTCTCAGCCCTTTCCTATTTAGTGTATTTTGTAAACTGGAGTAATAGCCTAAAAATGGAATCTAACAAGAATTTACAAACTGGTGAAGTGAGTGTGCCATGATGTCGTGCAGTCGGGACCGTTTCCATTTATAGTTGGGGAGCTTCTAATGCGTGGCTCGGTCCTCACAATAAACTCCAGAGTTTGTGTAGCAAAGGTGTTCCTATTTCAGCCACCCATGTGGATAATTTTAGATTTTGGAATATTTTGGATTTTGGAGTAAGGAAAACTCAACCTATGTTTTATAGTAGAAAACTGAAGAATGATCAACCTAGTTCTTCCATTTCCTGGGCATTTTGCCATATTGAACACACAACAAACAATTCCTCATCAATTTGTTTCAAAAGCTGGTTTCTTTCTGGCACAATGGATTTGAGTACAGTGCAATGGTGTTGCGTTTTTTTTTCACACAAAATGACACTTGATTCCTACACCTATGGGTTACTGCCATCCAGTGTAGTAGTAGATAGCACAAACTTGTATAAAAAAAAACAATTCTAGAGGTATGTGTGTACAAAATGCCTGAGAATGGTTGTAGCAACTGTTCATATAACTTCACATGAAGGATATTGATATACAGTCTTAAAATGCACATTCCTTAGTAAAGTCAATAAAATCAAGTTTTATGTTGCTTTATTTATCAAAAGAAGCAAATCATAACCTTCAGTCTATTTGTTCCATTGCTCAGGCATAGAACGGTCTTATTTTCCTTGACAGAGCCTTATGTTTGTAGTTGTGTCATCATGGTACATAAATGCCCCATAACAAAAAGCCTGAACACACTGGCTTATATTTATTGATGCACCTGCCTCTTTCCATCTGGCTTGCTCGGTTGGGCTCATGTTGTGCCTGCGCTCTAGCTATGCTGTGCTGGCAAGATAGTTGTGTTTGTCAAGGTTGAATTAGCTTTAGATGTGACCACTTATAATTTCTGTAGGGCATTACCATGTATCTGATACTCCATACTTATTTGTATTTTCAAGAACTGTGTAGTGATAGACCCTTCATGCTTTTAAGCTGGTAGAGATCTAAGGCCAAGAGAATCACACTTTCCTGCTGACTGTGAAAATATATGTCTGGGCAGATCGATGGTCTTATGTGTCTTTAGTCCAGCAGGTTTACTATTGCTATGAGTTTTAAAGGCCTTTTTAAGTGTCTTTATTGTATTTTAATTCTGTTTTTACCACACTTTTACTATTTAATTGCCTTTTAACTTTTGTATTGCACTTTTTAAACTTGTCTAGTGTGGGATTGTTAGCTGCCTTGAGTCCCCATGGGGTATAAATAAAGATGATGGTGATGATGATATATTAGGATGCTAACTTCAATGAGTAGCCTTGATTGCTGTCAGTTGAGTGACTTCCAGTGTCCATTTACCCCATTTGCTTAGTGGATTCTTGCAAAGAGCCAGTTGGTAGTTGCTAGCCACATAATTTAACTTTTAAAAACTAAGGCCAAGTTCTTGCATCGAGAAACACGGCTGCAGTAAATCTGTGCAGATATTTATCACAGCGTGTCCAGCTTCAAGAAGAGAGCTAGTCGCCTCTCTGCTCACTCCCTCTCTCTTCTTCGGCCACATGAAAACGGTCATGTTTAGGAGCAGCACTTCTGAAAAGGTAGGTTTGAAGTGGTGTTTTGGTCATTGTGTTTGCAGTAAAAGTTAATTTCAATAGTGTAAGACAGAGTTCAAACATCGCAATTATTGAACTGAATGCCCTTGGTTCCTATTTTATTCGTCAAATACTCAGGCTTATGTTTCCTTTATATATGTGTGTGTATCCTTTTTCAGTGTTTGCAAAGGTCTCCCTCTTCAGTGCCCCAAATCTTCCTCCCAGACTTGCTGCACATCTCTGGTGTCCTCCTCACAGCCTCAGTGTGCATGGCAATTCCCTGCATTACAGGAAAGAGCAGGATCAGAGAAGCATTTGGCTGTGTACCTGTAGCAAAACAGAAATTATTGTTTTAGTTTTGAACTTTATGGAGACCTCAGCAGATCTCAGTTCTGCTGTTATCATTTTGCATCTGGCTTTATAAGCACTTGTCTGTTACTCCTTTTAGAGACTGCGACATTTGGAATAACAATTTATGATGGCTGGTGTGGGATTTTTGTGTTTGTTCCAGGAGACCAGACCAGTTTTTCTGTGTATCAAATATTGACACAGTTGCAAAGTGACCTCACAGAAGCCAAAACTTGAAAGACAGTGCTTACATTAAAAAGTCTCTTCTGTTTAGGCTTGCTGTAGTGGTAAGCACATCTCTTCAGCCGACATGCTTGGCAGCTGAAGTAATAAAAATACTTGTTTGATGAAGTAGTGAAAGAACTTGTTTGCAAGTTATAGATAATTCAAAATAAATATATATTTTAAGATGTAGGAAATGGGGGAAATCCTACAGATCAACTGTCAGATAGTAGTGCTGGGATATTGGCATGGTAATTGCTATTCCTGATTTGTACAGGGAATCCTGGTGTGGGAAACAGTTTCTGTTGCTGAGGAAAAAAAGTATTTTATCTACACTAATATGTGTGCAGTGGTGTTCGTCTACTGCATGTCATAACTGGCTGGAGTCCAGCCCGCAGCTCCCAATTCATAGTCTCTCCAAGAGAACAGGAAACTTAGCAACTAGTTCTACAACTCTAGTTTTTATGTAGATTCTATCCATGCCCCTCTCCATTCAATTTCAAAAGGGTTATTCAAGTGATCAGCTCAAGTCTCTGCAAAAGCAATCTGTTCCTTCTCCAACAGCCCACTGGGTGGAAAGAGGGAATGAAAAGAGTGTAAAAAATGAAAGGAAGTATTTAAAACTGAAGAGAGAAAAGGTGTTTCTCACTCTGAAAATGGTTATAGTTCCAGACCTTCCTATGAGTTCTTTCAGAATTTAACACCAGTATGTTACTGCTTTTACTGGTGGTAAATAATGCAGCAGGTGGGATGCAACAAAGCATTCCGGCACCTCTCACACTCAATCCTGTCCAGATTTGATTAGCAATCAAATCAGGTCTCTATGGCTGGATCTATAGGGTCAGTGGGCACACTCTTCTAGACTTAGATAAATGGAAGATAGTCTCTCTGGGATTGCTTAATCCAGAAGCAAACAGAGAAAAGTGCACAAGCACCACCTTCCAAATGGCAATGAGAACAGTGCAAGCATTTTAACAACAGACAAACGTTTGTTGTTGATTCATTCAGTCTCTTCCGACTCTTCGTGACCTCATGCACCAGCCCACCCCAAAACTTCCTATCGGTTGTCACTTCAAGGATATCCATCCATCTTACCCTTGATCAGCCCCTCTTCCTTTTTTCCTTCCATTTTCCCCAACATCATTGTCTTCTCTAAGCTTTCCTGTCTTCTCATTATGTGGCTAAAATACCTCATCTTTGCCTCTAATATCCTTCCCTCCAATGAGCAGTTGGGCTTTATTTTCTGAAGTATGGACTGGTTGGATCTTCTCGCGGTCCAAGGTACTCTCAGAATTTGCCTCCAGCACCACAGTTCAAAAGCGTTTGCCTTCCTTCGCTCAGCCTTCCTTATGGTCCAGCTCTCACATCCATAGGTTACTAGGGGGAATACTCTTGCTTTAACTATGCAGATCTTCATTGCCAGTGTCATGTCTCTAGTCTTCACTATTTTATTGAGATTGGTCATTGCTCTCCTCCCAAGAAGTAAACATCTTCTGATTTCCTGGCTGCAGTCTGCATCTGCAGTAATCTTTGCACCTAGAAATACAAAGTCTGTCACTGCCTCTATGTTTTCTCTATATGCCAGTTATCAATCAGTCTGGTTGCCATAATCTTGGTTTTTTATATTTATCTGCAACCCAGCTTTTGCACTTTCTTCTCCCCCCCCCCCCTTCCCTAATGGCTTGAGACTTTCATACTCAAAGGATTGCTTCCCCCTATATACACCTGCCCAAGGATTGAGATCTAATGGAGGGTTCTCTTGTGTATGTGTCCCTGGGAGAGAGCATTCTCTGTTTGGGCACATTGGTAATAGGATACACTCCCTTTAGATTCCTGTCAGAGTGCACTTTAGTGTAATTTCTGCACCAGCAAAAACATGGGTTTTTACTAATGCCTTAGGAGCATAGTTGATCCATCCAAATTTGTCTGTAGTTTTAAATTATTTAAACCTATTTCATTTAGTTTTAAACTGTCTTGTTTTCAACTTATCAAATTGTTTAATATCCTTTTAGTTGGTTTATATTATTTCAATTATTTAGAATTCTCAACCAGAGTGTGAATGGACTCGGTAAAGTACAAATCCCAAGAATCTATAGGCTGACACCATGGCAGTTAAAGTGGAATAATATCACTACAATTCTATAGTGTGACAAGACCTCTGATTTTCATGTAGCGCAGCCTTTCCCATTGGGAACTTGAGGATCACACTGTGAATCTTTCCCACCCTCTGTTTGAGATTGAACCAAGGGGTTGATGTATTTGTTGTGCAATTGCCTTGTTTTATTCAGATTTTGGTGTGTCAGGGAAAAATTACCTTCACTTTGTCATCTTCTTGTGTTCTTTCACTTCTCTTTTCTCCCTATTTTTAGCTTACTTCACTTTTGTGGACAGATCCAATACCTACAGAAGCCATTCTGCATAGGCCATTCTACAAGCTTTGTCTGGAAACACCCGAGGATCCTAGAAATTGACCATAGGAAAATGATCAAGATGGTAATATGTCTGGAAACAAAGTGCTATGAAGACACAATTAGAGAGCTGAATATGTTTAGTTTATAAACTGAGAGGTGCCAAAAAAGTGTGTGTGTGTGCCTCTGGTTCCCAACATGGGGAACACACCTCACAGGAGGGCAATTTGATTTTTAATGGGCAATTCGAGAATGCTTTATTAACATTGCTTCTTTGCATTTCTTGTGGTTCTAGGAGACTCAAACACAGAATATAAATACATATTGTGGCATACACATTTAAAAAAACAACATTTGAATGTACAGGGTGATCGATTGGAGACAAAGGATTGGGGAGAGCCCATTCATAGAGAGGAATTGAGAGAGCATAAACTAGAGAGTGCATTAGTACAGAAACAGGAGACCACTTTTATGCCAAACACTCCACTCCTCTTAGTGTTCTTGTAACATTACAAGCTATATAAAACATATATAAATGTCTTTTTGTTCTACATATGAATGCAGCAAGACATAGTGTGAAAAAATCCAGAACATAATTATTACCTTCATAGGTAAGTCAGTATTTAGTATGAAAAAAAGATGATCCCCTGCAAGAAAATTAACATCAGGTGACACGATATTAATGCTTTTCTCACCAAATACACACAATGACATTGGGCGTTTAAGTTACCCTGAATTTGATGCAGATTACTCAAATTCATTTGTTCTTTTCTTTTTCTCTTTCTTGGATGCCATGTTATTTTGGAAGCTTGTTTGGACCAACTTTATGGCCTTTTAAGGTTTCTCCGTGTGAATAGGAGTTTACTTTTTGAGTAATGACAATTGCCATGGGGGAGGGGGTCAGGGTTTTAGAAAGGCTTAGGTGGGGCATTGCCAAAAAAAAAGTTGGGAACTACCAGTATAGGTCTAAAGTTGCCTGCTGATTTCTGGTGATGCCATGAATTTCATAAAATTTTCTTAGGCAAGAAATACTCTCTGAAATACAGTTTGCTGCCCCCATTATTTCTTGGTGGCCCTTATCCAAGTATTAACTAGAGCTGGCTGTGCTTAGCTTCTGAGATTAGACAGATGCCTTTAGAGTATTTAAACTATTTATATAGGTGACATGATAAACATTATCATCATGTTACCTACATAACCTTGGGAAGTCTGATCTGGCCACGGTGGTCCATGCTCTGGTTAGATCCCAAATAGATTACTGCAACACACTCTATGTGGGGTTGCCTTTGAAGACTGTTTGGAAACTTCAACTAGTCCAACGGGTGGCAGCCAGATTGCTCACTGGAGCATTGTACAGGGAGCATACCACCCCCCTGTTACGTCAACTCCACTGGCTGCTGGTCCATTTCCGAGCACAATTCAAAGTGCTGGTCTTGGCCTATAAAGCCCTATACGACTCCAGCCCAGCTTACTTTTCTGAATGTATCTCACTCTACGTTCCGCCTTGTAGTCTAAGATCTGTCAGGGCCCTGCTCTCGGTCCCACCAGCTTTGCAAACGCGGCTGGTGGGGACAAGGGACAGGGTCTTCTCAGTGGTGACCCCCTGTCTATGGAATTCGCTCCCCAGAGAAATTAGATCGGTGTCCTCCCTCCTTTCTTTCAGAAGAAAACTGAAGACATGGTTGGGGAACCAGGCTTTTGGCTAATGGATATAACGGCACCTGAACCGTGAATTGGACCAAACGGTTATAATGAAAATGCCTTTATGATTGGATAACTAATGTTGTTTTAATATATTGTATTGTATGATTTTATTTTGCGTTTATAATTGTAATTATTGCGGCATCGAATTGTTGCCATTGTTAGCCGCTCTGAGACCCCCTGCGGGGGTGAGAAGAGCGGGGTAGAAATGCTGTAAATAAAATTAAAAAAATATGATGGTGACAGGAAGACAAAGGTAAGCATTGTCTGCAATGGGATGGAGACAGGCAATGTAGTCAGACTGGGGACAGACAGGAATACTGCATTCCAGACCAGCACCAGGTTTTCCAGCCTGTGTACAGTACATATGACCAAGGACAGAAATGTGTGGATTTAAATTCTAAGAATCCACCAAAAGATTAGGATAAATTTTCTGATGGTGTGGTTCAGCAGTGAACTGGACTGTCTTAGAAAGTGGTAGATCTCTCCTTCATTGAAGGTCTTTAAACAGGTTGGATGGCAAGAGTACCTTAATTTATTTTTCTATCTGTATCTATCTACAGATAGATATCTTTCTACAGACAGAGTCCTCCCTGAGTCCCTCCTAGGGGGTTGAGAAGGGCGGGGTAAAAAAATACCCAAAATAAATATCTATCTACTTACCTATCTAATTTATACATACATATACCTACATACATATATACACACACACACATACACACACCTACTTGGAAGACGATTAGACTAAAGATGGCCCTGTGGTCTCTTCCAACTCTATGATTCTATGGAATGAACACACCTGTTTTCTCTGGCATCTTCCTCGCACTTGTAATGTCTCCTGGGTCTTTTGTCACAGTAAGGTCTCTTGGGTTGTTAATTGCAGACACGACTGAGCAGGCCCGTAGCCAGGATTTCGATTCGGGTGGGGGGGGGGGGGGGGGGGGGGCTGAGTCTGAGTGAAAGAGGGTCTACCCTAGCAAACCTTTTGTATCGTTGCCCCAATACCCCCATGCATATGGGATATATTGAGCATGGTGATCAGATCATGATATGAATAAACATAACAGTTTAAATAATATACCCGTAAGGCCTTCTCGCAGACAATCGTGAGAATTTGGGGGGGGGGGTGAAGCCCATCAAGCCCCCCCCCCCGGCTACATGCTTGCGACTGAGGTGACATTATATCAACGTAGTCCCATATGTACAATAATTTAGTTTCTAATGATCCCTCTGTTTTATACCAGGGATGTGTGAAACTCTGTTCTTCAAACCCTGCTCTCGAATTGGAATAGAGGATGGTGTAATTGCTCTTTGTACAAGTGGCCAAAGAGTTGTTTCCCAGTTGTGCTAATGCTAATATTTACCTGCCTGTGATAGAGAGAGCAAATACTGACTAGAAAACTATTTCAGAAGTAAAGAGAGATTGAGAGGATCAAGAAAAGGTGTTTAGGGCCTGGTATTTTTCATTCAGAACTTATTGTTGTCTTAGATGTGGACTCCCTCCCAAAAGATTTTAAGTTGAATTTGGAGTTTCTAGTACTTATACATTATGAACTGAAAGTTGCTAATGGTATTGCTACTTTACATACCATCCATATGCTGTTTTTTTGTTCTTCTCTCAATCATAGATGTCTAGTTAATGTTGAAACTAAATAACTAAGAGATATACATATGATCAAGGTGCATGGGCCCTTAACTTCATTATTTAGTCATTTCTCAGTAAAAAATGAAAACACTGTAATATTTGCTGGATTTATCAACTGGAGTTCTGTTTGTTTATGCCAACTAAAGTAGTAGACTTATTTAATCAATTCTTGAGTGATGAGTCAATATGCAGATAAATCCATTTGTTTCCATGGGCCTTTCCTTATCAAGAGCAACAATAGGATTAAGTCCATCAATGCCAGCATTCTCTTTGTAACAGTCATCTAGCCAAATGTCCCTGGAAGCTCACTAGGATGGTATCATGAAAACAGACATCCCTCGGGTTTCTTTATCTGGTTCTGAAAAGTATATTACCTCCACAAATAATTGCATTTACTATGCAGTTCTAGATACCAGAAACAGGGTGCATTTCATTCAACTGACTTAATTCCAAGTAACTATGTTAGTAGGTGTATAAGATTATCATTCCCAACCCCCTGTGATCAACCTAGCCTAATTTGTTTGTCCAAACCTTTCTTTAAAATTATCTTCTAAGCTAGTAACTGTCACCATATCATTTTATACATTTACCATGCAAAAGAGCGAAAATGGTGTAGTGGTTTCAATATTGGACTACATAGTTATCTATGGAGGCAGTTCGCACACTAAGATTCTAAGTGATGGGTTTTATTATTAAGAAAATTAATATTATTTAAATTAAGGAAACTCTGGCTTGTCGAGGAGTTTATTAGGAATAGTGCGACTGTGAAATAGGAATGCCTCATCCTTGGAGTAGCTGCATCTTGCAACTAGGTCCCCAAATCAAAGACTTGGAAACACTTTGATAACAATTTGGCAAGATCTCCATGACAGTGAGATTGGACACTTTGATATCCTGCCTTTCAAGAAGTGGCCTTTATATTATTTCACAAAGTTCAGGATGGCTAGCTCTGTTTGGGCTTATTTGAAATAAGTGAAATATATGCATTGGAGACTTCTTTTTCATGGTTTGCATATGCTAATGAAGCAGCAGAAAACAAAAATGCTCCGAAGAGAGGGAGGGAAGCCAGGGTGGGTGCAAGAGCAAGCTCTTCAGTACAACTGTCCCTGACACACTGTGACCTGGTTCCTCTTTCTTCATGCTGGTTCAACATTAACCCAAGCTGGGCTGCAATAGTTTCTCCTCTGTTTCCCCTCTGCATTTTTCCTGTAGCTCAGGAACCCACACAATGGGACACAGCAGAACCAAAATGCTGAGGGCTTTTCTCCTCATCAGCCTTGTACATTTCACCCAGAGCTACGACACGGGTAAGGATACGCAGGAAGGGATGGGGAAGGTGGCATCTGTCAATCAGCAAAGCCAGAATATTGTGGTGGGGCTGGAACAGTAAAACAAAATGAAGGCAGAGGACAAGAAAGAATCCAGGGCATCCTTGATATGAAGGAGAAAGCAGCCAGTCATTGAGAGAAATAGTCAGGATCACACTGAAGAAGAGGTGAGCATGGCAGCCGTGCAGAGACACACCTCTGCAAGAACTTTGGAACTGAAAGGCTCAGAACATGGAAAATTATAGCTCTAAGAATCGTTGAAATATTCTGTGAGTTGCAGTTGGAAAAAACTGGCATTTTAGTAAACTCTGGGAAAATACAGTTTTGGAAATAATTTGTGGTCCTTGAGAGAAAAGTGTGGAAGCTAGACTGAAAGAGTTTCTAGTGAATTCTGTCTTCAGGCAATTTTTAATTTTATCTTTATACTTGAGAGCATATAAATTACAGATTATTCAGGACCCACATTTGCCTTATTCTGGGGAGATCGACAGGGTGTGTGTCTATTCATTTTAAATCTAGTTCATTATCTGGCTAGACTTAATAGAATCGGATTCTCGCCAATATTTTTAAAAGTTTCTTCTCCTGGCTCTGAATATAATTTTTTAAAGTTTGTTTGTTCATTTATTTGAGTATTTATGCCCTACCCTTCTGCCAAAAGGTATCCCATGGCAACTTAGAAATCATCAGTTCGACAGTCCCCTTCCCTCAGGCTTACAATCTAAATAAAACATGACGCATTAGGAAAAGGGAATGGAATTAAGTGTGAGATCAAGTTCAGCAGATGCTGGCTGCTCTTCTCCCATTTTGAGGCCAAAGTGATAGCAGTTGTAATTTGGAGGGAGGGCTTCTCGTCAACTGCTGAGTCAAAGTATGATGGAGCTCTATCTGGCTGCTCTTCTGTCCCTGAGAGGAGAATGTGTGCTCAAGCAATGGATATGGAGGGAACCAGTTTTGGTGCTTCCAAGTCCTTCATTGCTTATCTTCTGAGAACCAATTTGTGCTTCTCACCTCCAACTTAGATCTGTTACTATCACATAGAGAACATTTATGGAAACTTATTTTTGTCTTGTTATCATTCTTCAAAACTTGGTGCTGGAACTAGGCGGTGAAGTTTTTCTATCTGGAAAAGAAAGGAAAATGTGTGTCCCTGCATGTTGCATATGGAAAGGACTACAAAGGGTCAAACACTGGGGTTAGGCAAACAGAAGACCAGCACATTCTACCAAAGAGGCACTCATGCCATGAGGGTTGAATAAACAAGCCTTTCTATGCAAACAGGAAGAAATAGGTGGAAATAGGCATTGATCAAAAAGATGTAACATACTCTTGCAGGCAGCCATACATTGGCAGAACTCTGATATTACATTCAGTGGAAGATTTATGTATGGTTGTGAAAGCTAGACAATATAGGAAAGTTGAGAAGAGAATTCTCTACTTGGTGCTAGAAGAGAGTTCTGCTAAAAAGGCCAATAAATTTGACCAAGAGCAAATCATGCCTGAACTTTCCCCAGAAACCAAAATAACCAAACCGAAGATATTATACCTTGGCCAATAATGCTTAGCAAAGTGGGAAGCAGTAGGAAAAGAGGAAGACCACATTGTAGGTGGGTAAAGTCAATCTGAGAAGTCAGCCCTGAGTTTACAAACCTTGAGCATGGCTAAGTCTCTTGGAAGTTTCTCATTCATATGGTCAATTTGAAAGTGACTTGAAGACAATTCATAGCAATCTGAAGATCTAGTTCTCCCACATTAAGCCTATCATAGACTGGTCATATTTTCTCTTTAGTAACATCTGTTACTGGACTGTACCATACCCCCAACTGCACCAATTCAGCAAGGACAACCCTGAGTAATCCTCTGGCGTACCACTGTTTTTAATGTCCCAATTTCTATCTCCTCTTTCCACTTTCCCCTTCTTTTCTTTCCTTACCTTCACTTACTGGTGAGTTCAAAATGCAAAAGTAGCTAGCATGCAATTAACTCAGCACAAGGAAGAGGAGTGGTGTGTAATCTTGCCAATTGTGATAGGTTCAGGTTAAATTGTTCCAGCCTCTCCTAATTCATGTGTGTTCCCCATTAATAACAATTGCAGTCTAAACTGCATTCCAGTGTTGTTTGGTCACAATGTCTCTGTTTTATCTGTGAAATATTGTGGAATATGCATTGGTTCTAATTTGTACACAGAAACAAATATTTGTAATTGAAATGTTTTGTGCTCTTTTAACCTATTCTTTCCTGTCTGCACAGAAAAACCTCTTTGTAGTACTTTGTTTTTCTGAAAAAGAAAGAGAACAGAATTTATACCTTCTCCATTCAACCCGCTTAGCCATTCATTTCCGCAAGACAAAGAGATGTGATTGAGTTTTAGAAGGTGAAAAAACTTAACCCATCCAGAAGATAAAGCTCTTTAACATAAGCAAGAAATTTAACGCAGCCAAAAAATAAAACTCCATAACACAAACAATAAAAATGAAGAAAACAAAAGAAGACTGGCAAAAAAGGAATATTATTCAGATCAGTGAAAACCAAATGAATAGTTTAGTATTGTCTTTTAGGAACAATTCAAGAAATGAAGCTTTATAATTTGATATAATCTTCTATCTTTTCTGTTGAATTGATGGTCAGAATATTAATTTAATGTGCATTAATTTCAAATTATTAAACCTTCAGTAGATAGTAAAGTTAGAGGAATATACTATACACAGCTACCTGTGATCTGGAACTGTGTATCTGAAACATACTGATAACTTACTTATTCTAGTAAGTGTGATGTAGTTTATTTGATCAAGTCACCCGGATTTTTGTTTGAAGCACCTTTCTGTTGGGTGCCCCTTTCTTCTTCTGTCCCAGTGAGGTCAACACTATATAGATCAGAAGATCTAACAGCTGATCATGAGTTGCAATCCAAAAACATCAGTAAGAAGTTAGTTGCTTCCCTTAGTGTTGCTAATCTGGATGTGGTAGTAACCCATTAGTAGAAATTTTGTTGTTGTTAATTGCTTTCCAGTCAGCTTCAATTTCTGGCAACACTGTATGAATGAGAGACCACCAAGTCACACTGTTACCACCAGCTATGCTCAGATCTTAGAAACTCAGGGATATATCTTCTGTGATTGAACCTATTCAACTTGACTATGGTCTTACTCTTTTCCCACTACTGTAATGAGCACTATTGTCTTTTCTAATGAATCATATTTTCACATGATATGACCAAAGGCAACACTCTCAGTTCAGTCATCTTGGCTTCTAGGGAGATTTCAGGCTTGATTTGCTGTTCAATGTATGTATGTACTTACGTATGCATGTATTTGAAACCTCCCTTACAGAAAAATACTTTCCTCAGAATCCTTCTTCATTCTTCTATATGAAATAAGTGGTAAAAAAAAAAACTACTAAAGTCTTCCAAATGATTTTGAACAGCCTCCATCATTGCCTATAAGACCTAAAGCAGATAAGTGGTGAAGATCTAAATGATGTAATGGGGCCTGGTTTCCAAAGTCAAAGTTCCAGGACATTTTCATTAGCAGGAGTATGACAACCTCTGCCACCCCCACCCCCAGATCCTCCTGTTCCCTGTAAGAAGTATAGCTATAAATCCCACAGTATCAGGAATGGAAATAACTTTTCCTAGTAAATAGTTTTCCTAGTCAGCGATCCCTGCTTATTGGGGTGGATTGGTCTTATGTTGGTAGGATGCATTGGCTTTCCACAACTACTTGCACTTTTGTGCTCTTTATGGGGTGTTGACATAGAGGCTGTCTTGGTGGGGGCCTAGATGTCTATCATTATCACTATATCACTGAATGTACGGTTCTTTAAAAAAATGAAAGACTTGTCCTGCTCTACTAGTGATTGACTGTCTGTTTTGCTCTTCTAGTCTTTCTTGAGCAGAGGCAAGCACTTTCCATGTTGAAACGCACACGCCGAGCCAACAAGGGATTTCTGGAAGAGATGCGTAGAGGCAACCTAGAGCGAGAGTGCCTAGAAGAAACTTGCATCTATGAGGAGGCCCGCGAAGCCCTTGAGTCTGATGTTCAAACAGTATGCATCATTTAATGTTCCTTGTTCCCATAGTTAAGTAGATTGAAGGCCCTAGCTACTAATGGCTGTTATCCTATTCGCGAAGCACACATGTGGAAGTTATGCTACACTTATGGGGTGATGTCTTTTGCTAACAGTGATGGAGGTTCAGTTTCACATACAGCAATGTAGCACATTATGGCTGTTCTTGCACAACAGTCTCCAGTCATTGCAAAGAGTTGTTACTGTTAAACAAGGGGTTGCTTAGGACTGGCATAGGATTATCTCCATAGGTGGTTATTGGTATATGTGGGTATGATTATTTATTTGAATTCATTCAGTAGCAGAAAAGTACCTTTGCGTCTCACTGATGGATTTGTGACATCAGAAGCAAATGCAGTCCTGATTTTGCTTTTAATTTCTTATTGACTCTTGTATCCAGTCTGGATGAGCTGTCTCTTAATTCTAGTAGTTTACAGGGCTGGCTTGGTACAGTGCCAAAGAATTAGAATGTTTTAATTCTGATCCTTCTTTTTGTCCATTATTCTAAAGTGAGTGCTTTTGTCTTGCAGGATATCTTCTGGGCACAATACAAAGGTATGTTTGCCTAGGTCCCGTCAAATATCCCAGTGTTTATACAAGATCCCAATTGAAGTTCTCTTCACAGCATCAAGAATAATCAGTCCCAGAAGTGGAAATCATTATACCTCAGATCTTGCTGGACTTCAAGTCCCAGCAGCTATTTGTGAGGAATGTTGGGAGTCATAGTTCAATAATATCTGAAGGTCTGCATGAGTGTTACCTCACCCCCCTACCCAAGCCAATGGCCAATGTCAGCTATAAATACTCTAGATTAAATATCAGTCTTATGCTTCTAAATGTAAATAAATACTTTAAATTCAGTAAGACATTACTGAGTAAATCTGTTTATGACTGAGTTATAGCATAATAATAACGACTTATCTTAACCCCCATTTTCACAGTATTAAACTATGGAATCCTTCAGCTTGAAAGCCAGTTCCATCAGTTGATTCAACCTTACTCTTTAACTTGTTCATACTATTTGAGCCTTTTTTTGTGCCAATGACACAACTATATACTTCTCTTCTTCCCACAGTCCGAGTTTTCACACAATAGTTCAGTAGAAGATCAGCCATTAGGACAGTCTTCTCTAGGTCAGGTGTGGACAAATCTTAGCCATTCAGATTATGTTGGACAGCAACTCCCATTACTTCTCCTCACCTGGCAAGGGTGATTACAGCTCAACCACACCATGAAGGCCATAACACCCACTTACTAGAGTGTAGATAATTTTCTCACTGGTAAGATTGGATGACTCATTGGTTTCAAAGAGGAGAGCAGAGAGGCCAAAATTTTCGTTCACATCCAGCCTTGTCCTGGGTTTGTACTTTTTGGAGTCATAGGAAAGAGGTATTCCCTTCCACTTTCAAATGAATTAAAATGGTCAGCAATGTGTTGTTCTACAACAGGGGTTCCCAACCTTTTTTTGAACAGGGTCTACTTGATCAGGGACCACTTTGACCAGGGACCACTCTCCAACATTAGTACCAGAAAGGTTTTAGGGTTTCAATGAGATTAAATTTTTGATCTCTCAGTTTATTGGCTTTATATTTGACAAATTAAGTTTTAAATTTTGTTTTTAATTTATTTGAATTGATGGCCCTTGTGGTTTTTTCCAACCCTATAACTGTTTGAGATTACTTTAAGATGATTTTATTTACTATATCACTCCCCACACCCCGGAATCTGTTGATGTAGATTGGATTACAAATATTTTAATACATTTTGATTTTAATAAAATAATATTCTTATTTCATTTGCTAGTTTGCAAATCGCAAATGAAGCCCAGGGCCAATTTGGATGAGTGCTTAAAAGGTAAGAAGCACCCTGATGGGGAATTATAGGAATAAGGGAAGAAGTGATGGGAGAGCAGGAAAGGGTTAAGTGCTTTTCTTTTACAAATGTCTTGTGAATGTTATTTTGTGGATAAATATACTTGATATTTTGCATTGAATTTATATAATTATTCTAGCAGTTTTGTACGCTGAGGCAGCAGAAAAAGATTTAAAATAAATAATGACATATGTATGAATGAATATTTAACAAAAGCTCTTGTGCAGGTTGTTTGTTCTGTGCATAATTATTATTTCCTGGTTGTTTAAGATAATTGTTTTTGCATCTCACATTTCACATTTGTGCAACTTAGAACATAATCAAGCCTATAGCCAAGACATTTTTCGGGCAAAAAACTAAAAATTGGTTTACTCCTGAATTATAACTGTTTAACCAAACCCCCATGCCAAGTCGATGAAAAGCAAAAGTTAGAGTCCCTCTAGAACTACAAGCACTGTCTCAATCAAATTTTGACTATTCCCACTACCTACCTTTCTACCAATTTACATTGCAATAGAAGCAATAGCTGGCATAGTGGAAGTGACCATAGTGTGTAAGCTGCCAAAATGTGGAAGCTAATGAGCAAAGCTCGGACCAGAGATAAGGAGGATTTGACCTGGATTGCAGGTGAAAACTGATGAAAGTGTGGAAACTAAGGCGCCCTCCACTGGTTCAACTGATCCCAGCCCTGCCAAAGAAACAGTGGAACAGGAGGAAAGAAAAGAAGCCATGTCATTGTTAGATCTTGAAAACGATCTTGGGGTCCTCGTGGACAACAAGTTAAACATGAGCCAACAATGTGATGTGGCAGCAAAAAAATCCAATGGGATTTTGGCCTGCATCAATAGGAGCATAGTGTCTAGCTCCAGGGAAGTCATGCTATCCCTCTATTCTGCCTGGGTGAGACCACACCTGGAATACTGTGTCCAATTTTGGGCACCATAATTGAAGAGAGATATTGACAAGCTGGAATGTGTCCAGAGGAGGGCGACTAAAATGATCAAGGGTCTGGAGAACAAGCCTTATGAGGAGTGGCTTAAAGAGCTGGGCATGTTTAGCCTGTAGAAGAGAAGGCTGAGAGGAGACATGATAACCATCTATAAATATGTGAAAAGAAGTCATGGGGAGGAGTGAGCAAGCTTGTTTTCTGCTGCCCTGGAGACTAGGACACGGAACAATGGCTTCAAACTACAGGAAAGGAGATTCCATCTGAACATGAGGAAGAACTTCCTGACTGTGAAAGCTGTTCAGCAGTGGAATTCTCTGCCCCGGAGTGTGGTGGAGGCTCCTTCTTTGGAAGCTTTTAAACATAGGCTGGATGGCCATTTGTCGGGGGTGCTTTGAATGCAATTTTCCTGCTTCTTGGCAGGGGGTTGGACTGGATGGCCCATGAAGTCTCTTCCAACTCTATGATTCTATGATTCTATATGAACAAGACTGTTTCTGATGACCAAGTGAAAGATCAATTAATGCAAAATCCACAGACTCCGTTGCCAGGATATGTATTTCCTGTGGATAAGAAGAGGCATCTAAGTTTCCAATCCAAATTGTTCAACATATTTCCTTAGTTGGACTACTCATTTCATGTATGTATGGTGTGGGTTTTGGAGAAATTGGGTGTAAAGGTGCTCATCAGCAGCTTGGTGCACTGGTTGCTAAACCATTTATGTGATGGAAAATGCAACACAAGTTTTCAGTAGAAACCAAAAAACATTACCATCAGAACAGTTTGTGCTTGGCTGAAAACTTCATGCTAATTTGCAATGGAAAGCATCTTGATGGAACCCGTCACCATGATAGAGGAAATAAGAAGAAAGCAGAAGAAAACAGAAATAAACTTCTGCCAATTGTGGAAACTATTGTCCTTTGTGGCCAACAATAACTGGCTTAAAGAGGAAGCAATGATTCAGTACCTATTACCTGTGAAGAACCTTTGCACAATGATGGCCATTTCAGGGCCGTGTTGAGATCTCGTGTCAGATCAGGAGACACTGGCCTCAAAAGTCATCTTGGGGGAAAAGTTTCAACCCCTCCCAATTTTTTTCCTGGTTACGGGCATAAAGACAATAGCCCATCCACACTGTGGAATTATAACAGTTTCATACCAGTTTAACTTCCATGACTCCATCCTATAGCATCAGAACTGTGTAATAGAAAATGATAAATATCTCGTAAAAGGACAGGCAGATGAGTTTCTTCGAGTGATGTTCTGTGAATTCATACAACTCCAAATTCCATAAATGCATTGCATTGAACCATGTGTGACACTTAATGTAATACTAAACTGCTATAATTCTGGAATGAGTATACAGCTACATGCAAAATGTGTTTCAGTACCACCCGTTCACACACCCAGCTACACGTTGTGAATGAAATCAAAGAAAGAATCTTCAAAAGTTACACATCAAACTACTCTGGGACTTCCGAATTCAGAGTGACAGTGTTTTGGAGCACAATACTCCTGACCTCACGATTGTGTTAAAAAACCAAGTATGGATTGTTGATATTGCAATCCCAGGTGACAGCAGGATTTAAGAGAAACAATTGGAAAAGCTGACACGATATGAGGATTTAAAGAACAAACTGCAAAGACTCTGGCACAAACCAGTAAAGGTGGTCCCAGTGGTGATCGGCACACTGGGTACAGTGCCTAAAGACCTTGACTAGCACTTGAAAACAATCAGTGCTGACAAAATTACCATCCTACTCGTATCTGCACATATTAGTCATCGATACATCACACAGTCATATACACTTGAGGAGTGTCTGACGTATGATCCAATACAAAAGCCAGCATAGTGATCTTGTTTGCTGTGTACTAATCTTGTTGTAATAATAATAATAATAATAATAATAATAATAATAATTCAATATATGTCTGTGAGAACAGGCCCTATATGGGTCCATGTCATAGAAATCACCGTGTTTTTATTTGAATTTTAAAAGGTGACTGTGCCAAAGACATTGGGCAGAATTACAAAGGAACGATTTCTGTCACGAAGTCAGGAATTGAATGCCAGTACTGGTCCAGCAAATTTCCTCACAGGCCAAGGTAAGTTTGTTTAACTATCTAGAAATCTTTTTTATTGCGCCTTTTAACCCTGGGAATTTCTTCAGGTAGTTTTGCAGCTTGAAAAGTACTTAAAAGGACATTCAAAGTCAACATTAAATAATGCAAACCTGTAGCTAGCTAAACAAAAAAAAATATTACTGACGACTTTAGGGGAACATTTCTCCAGTGTGATATACGCCATCCTACACCAACAATAGCCCCTCTGCACTCCCACTGAACAGACAGAACAGTATCTGCACTAGAGTGTAAATAAATCCAAATCAAACATTAGAAATGGCAATACCCCCAAACCAGTTGCAAAATATTTCAGTCGATCTGGATATACAGTATGGAATTTAAAGGTCTGAGTCCTTGGTCAAGGAAATCACAAAGGAAGACTAGAAAGAAACAGCTGAATTAAATTATATATACACATTGCAGTCCATTAGTAGGCATATAAACAAAAACAAAGGTTTCACATGACACTACATATATTCATACAAGAGTCTTGGCTGCTGAACATGTCACAAAAGGAACATGTTCAGCATGTCAGGGGTGCTTTGAATGTGATTTCCCTGCTTTTTGGCAAGGGGTTGGACTGGAGGGCCCATGAGGTCTCTTCCAACTCTATGATTCTCAGATAAGGTTTTGAACCAAAGGTAAGCAGATGTATTGTTTTCACACATCAGCACCAATGGACCACTATACAGATTACCTTAAGCAGCCCTTGGAAAATTTAGGACAAGGATCAGGATTTGCATCTTTCCAGATTAACTTTCATCCCACTCCTACTTCCACAACTGTCTAAATATGTCTTGTAACTTGAGGTTTGAATATCACTCTGCACTGCATCTGAAGATATGAGTGTATATCCATTGATATCTTCAGGCTTTTGGAGGTTGCTTCCTCCCTGGAGTGGAGTTTTCTAACATGGCTGATTGTAAACCTTCTGATAATAATAAACTAAATGTCATATTTTGGAAAAACTCTCCGACCCTACCTCAAGATAATATAATACAAGGATGCTTTTAACTAACAGTGAATCATAGGAAAAAAGAGGGGAAAATATAATTATACTAAGCAAGCAGTAGTTTTGTTCTCTAACATTTGTCTTAACATTATTCTTCTTTCTATCAGTGATTTTAGTTATTAAATGGTGTTACAGGGCAATCTTTAGATATCTTACTCATCTATTCCACACAGACAGGCATGTAGCTGGGGGGGGGGGCTTGAGAGACTTCAGCCCACCCCCAAATTCTCAGGGTGGTCCACGAGAAGGCCTTACTGGTACATTATTTAAACTGTTACGTTTATTCATATCATGATCTGATCACCATGCTCAATATATCCCATATGCATGAGGGTACTGGGGTAACGATACATAAGGTTTGCTAGGGTAGATCCTCTCTCACTCAGCCCCAGCCCCCCCCCCCCACCCCCGGATCAAACTCAGTTCCCCCCCCCCATTCTTTTGAAAACCTTGTGTTGATTTATCTTTAAGAAACAGGTCAATTTATCCAATTCCTTCCGATTCCTCTTCTTCCAGATCATATTTGGGATTATTGCAAAATTCTTTTGCGTGTTACAGTATTGTCATCGAGAGCCTTCTGTTACTGAAACACAAAGATAGTCCTTCCAATTTCTCACATCTCTTATATAGTGTTTTTCTTCTTCATCTTTTCTTTCAAGGAAAAATAGTCTTTTCTCCTGGAATGTCTTCCTTCATATTCATCTATGTGTCTTGATATGTCCGTTTCATTTCTTGATATTTCTGTAGAATCTCAACTCTGAAACATTTATCAATCAAGTAGACAATCACATCTCTTGGTACTTTCTTCTGATTCACTCCTCTATTCTGAAAACTCTGTCAGCCTGTTGTTCAAATTCGTTCTCCTTCATGACCAAATAAGCCACTAAAGCCTCTATCATCACTCTTCTTGCACCTTCTTGTAATTCTTCCAGGTATTTTTCCCCTATCAAGAATACTTGATCTTTTCTCTGGCTTATCAACTCGTTCCACTGTGGACTTCACCTCTGCTTTCACTTGAGTCAATGATTGTTTGACCTCTCATAATTCAGTTTTAGTTCATCCTTCATAGTATCTAGGGACAGTAACCAGGCATTTTAGTCTGATTTCAGTTCTCTCTTTATCCCTTGAAGGTCCTCCAAAATTGTTTGTGAAATATTTGGTGATTTAATTTCTGTATATCTTCTTATGTCTTGAACTACTTTTGCTGTTGTTGTCATTGTTGTTGATGTTCTCCCCATAAAGCCAGAAAATATGTCTTGGTATTTCCTTTAAATTCTTATTCATCCATTTCCATCAACCAATTTTAGTCCACAGCAAGTCACCGGTTTTTGTTCTCCTGCAAATGTTCATTTGTTTTGCCTTCTCACAGAAGCACAGTTTCTTGATCAGATGCCTTCAAGGTTAGCCAACCACTGTAACTCCCAGCTTCACAGAAGGAAATATCCACCAGCTATCATTACCAAATGCTTACCAAGTAAAACATTGGATTTTGGTCCTCACAGTCTTTTTATCTCTTAATTAAATAGTACAATTTTATATTATTCTTTATATTATTCAATGGATGTACTCTCCATGTTAAAAAAAGATCAAGTGCAGCATGGATCTTGAAGACAAGAGAGCCACAGTTCTCATATTATAAATCCAATTGTAAGAGACTTCTGCTTTCCTATATTTCTGGTCCCTTTTATTGTTACATGGTTTATTCTTTCAGGTTCAATGTGACAACCCATCCACATGCTAACCTTACTGAAAACTACTGTAGGAATCCAAATGACAATGTGCAGGGGCCTTGGTGCTACACACGTGACCCAGTGGTGCGAAAAGAAGAGTGCGCAGTCCCCGTCTGCGGTGAGACTCGTGGCTGGAGCTTCGTATTTCCTTTGATTAGGCCTTGGCCTTAATTTATAGGTGTATACACAGAGTTTCCCTTTGACAGCCAAAGTAGATATGGTGAAGGAAAAAGAGCTCTTTTTCATAATTGTAATGGTATATCAGGCTAAATCTAACTACTCAAGACTGATTTCAGACCACAGCAATGATGGACCTTCGTTCATGTTAAATCCAAAACATTATTGAAAACATATAGAACTGGAAAGGCTAGTTTGCATAGAGGATGATTTTGAGATGTATGTACATGAAGGTTCTGGAGATGTAATTATTAGGAATTCAACTGTTAAGTAAGCAGCATTTTCTGGAAATTATATAACACCCCCAATAAATAGTGTGCTCTGTCATAGTTTTGGCTCTAAGTATATATGAGGCCAGGTCTTAGAAAAAATGTTTTGTACTGCAGACTCCCAGAACACCAAAATATTTTTCCAAGAACACCAAAACATTACATCCAGTGGCCATACTGGCTAGAAAATTCAGTGTTTTAATCCAAAATGTAACTTGTCCAAGGCGACTGTAGCAGAAAAAACAGTTCTACATCATGCTGCTTTTTCTTGAATAATCAGTAGCCCATCTTGCTCCTCATTTTCAGGTGAGAACCAGACAACTGTTCCATTTTCTCCAAGAACCAGTGTACAACAGAAAAAGCAGACGCAACAACCGTGTGTTCCTGACAAGGGGCTACTGTACACCGGGACTGTTTCAGTCACCCGCTCTGGGGCCCAGTGCTTGCCATGGACCTCGGAAAAAATAAGGCATCTTATCCAAAGAAGAGACTTCCTGCCCTCTGTCACTCTGGTGGAGAATTTTTGTCGCAATCCAGATGGCGATGACGAAGGTGTCTGGTGCTATGTAGAGAATCCCAATGTGACCCATGAATATTGTGACTTGGATTATTGTGGTAAGGAGCACCCTGTGAGGGACACGGCTGTATTTTGTGCTATAAAAAGAATGATTGATGAGTTTGGAAGATGAGCTCGGCGAATGAGGAGAGTTAGGGATAGTTGAAATCACACATGCATGATGGAACAATTATGAAGATAAGTTTGAATTTTGTTAGATGGGTTAGATGATTAATACTGTAGTCCTGTGGACATCTAAATAGAAATAACTCCATGCTAAGTTAAGCAGGTAAAATATGTTAAGAATTGCATCCTGATTATTTTGCAAAACAAATCTATTCTCATTGTCCTCTTCTCTGGCTCCACATTCCCTCTTGTTTCAGAAACTGTTCTAAAGTATGTTGATGATGTGGATGAAGACCAAAGAGCAGGCCGGACCTCTAATGTAGAACATCAAGTCTTATTCAACCCCAGTACATTTGGTGAAGGTGAAGCAGGTGAGGAACTGAGTCAAGGGTATTATTATTATTATTATTATTATTATTATTATTATTATTAGTAGTAGTAGTAGTAGTAGTAGTATTTATTTATCTGAAACATTTATATTCCGCCCTTCTCACCCTGCAGGCGACTCAGGGTGGAGCACAACATATATCGTGAGTTTTTCTTGGCAAGAGCTGTTTAAAATAATAAGAGCTAATAATAAAGCTCTGACTTTTTCTTTAAATGAATGGCTGAATAGTTGAAAACCTGTGGTGGAGAATTGGTAGCCGATTGCACTAGTTATTATCCAGGCTAGGCTTGTCAGCTTTCCCACTCATTTCATATGTTTACTAGCATGCTAAAACAAGATAGATGTAAATTTTCCTTGGTGGAAGAGAAAACACAGAGAAAAGGTTCATGTGTTTTCTCACCATCTCTTCCATTTTTTTCTTAAAGCAGAAAAAAAGATGGAATATAACTGCTTCTGGAATGCAGCAATGTCTTCTGTTGCTAGGCATCCCTTTCTGGAATTACCTTTAGGATAAGGAATTATTAGCCAGAGAATACATAAATTGGATGGTTTAGCTGATCCTGCAACTTACACTCATGTGCACACTTTAACATTCATGTAAAACCATGCTACAAATCTAGCATATGCTGTGCAGGTGAAAATCTTATTGTTGTTCTTGTATGCCTTCAAGTCATTTGCAACTTATGATAACCTTATCAGTTTTCTGGGGTTGAAAGGATGTGACTTGCCCAAGGTCACCCAGTGGGTTTCCATGGCCAAGTGGGCAGTTGAACCCGGTCTCCAAACATAGTCAAATACCCAAACCTTTACACTATGCAGGCTCTCTTCCACATTTCCATTAAGATGAGAGGCTTGGAACCGCACCAGATTAAGCAGCTCCTGGTGAAAAAATTATAGTGGTAATGTTCCCATCATTTTCACCACAATTTTTTAATTCTCACCTTTGTCCTATGGTTGGAACACAAGGCAGCAGAAACAATATGAAAATGTATTTTCCTAGCATAAAATATAGACTCCCTTTGTGACAGATCCATTTGTGAACCAGATTCTAATAGATAACTGTGGGAATGTGTTTTCAGATTGTGGTGTTCGTCCCTTGTTTGAGAAAAAGAAAATTGCTGATAACAGTGAGCAGGAGTTGTTGGACTCTTATCAGGGAGGCCGAGTTGTGAAAGGTTCAGATGCTGACCTAGGCAGTGCTCCATGGTAAGTTTCATCACAACTTTGACTCAACCATGTCTATTGTTGATTGGGGGGTGTTTAGGAGAGGACCACCCCCAACACACCTCTCTGGAAGCCCTCCCCCTGCATCTGTAGAAGGGAGTTCTCTCCATGGACCATCATATGTTGGACCTTCAGATATACAATCTGGAAGTTCTGGGCTACAGAGTTTGGTTCCTTTGTCTTCCCTAAGGAAGCATGAGACCTATTCGCATTATACATTCATATCCATTCTAGTCCACTTTAACTAGTCCATACTAAGCCCCTCTTCCTTTTTCTTTCCATTTTCCCCACCATCATGATCTTCTCCAAGATTTCCTGTCTTCTCATTATGTGGCCAAAATACTTCATCTTTCCCTCTAATATCTTTCCTTCCAGTGAGCAGTTAGGCATTATTTCCTGGAGAAATGACTGGTTTGATCTTCTTGCAGTTCAAGGCACTCTCAGAATAGTTAAGGGAGAGGCATTTAAAATTCTCCGCAGGAAAGTTCTTGGTCCTCACTGAACAACAACCCCCAGGATTTCATAGGATGTAATCCTGAGTGCTAAAGTGCTGGAACTGAGTGATGTCAAAGGACCCCTGGTTTCTGGCCAAAGTACCACCAACCTGATTACATCAGAGAGCACAGCTTTGTACACTGACAACACCCAGTCTGCTTAAGGCATTGGATATAAGGAATTGATTTTCCGACATGTATTAATTCAGTTGTTATAATCGCTTCTGGTGTGAGAGAATTGGCTCTCTGCAAGGATGTTGCCCAGGGGACACCAAGATATTTTTTGATGTTTTTACCATCCTTATGGGAGGCTTCTCTCATGTCTCCACATGGGGAGCTGGAGATGACAGAGAGAGCTCATCCATGCTCTCCATAGATTCAAACCTTCAACCTGTCAGTCTTCAGTCCTGCCAGCACAAGGATTTAACCCATTGTGCCACCAGGGGCTCTTTCCAGTTTCTCAAGTTGCTCCTGACACACACAAAAAAGTTATAATTTAGGGACTGCATACATAGCAATGAGCAGACCTTGGTAAGTTGATTTCATAACCAGAACTTCTTTCAGAATTTACTTTTATTTATTTTCCAGTTTATATTCTCCCTTCCCCCCATGATGGTTTTCAATACAATTGTTGTTATTGTGTGTCTTCAAGTTATTTCCAATTAATGGCCACCTAATAATACAAGTGTGTAAAATGACTGAAAGCATTTTTTTATTTAAAAAAACAAAGTTTTGATATTCACTAGCAAAAGAAAAAAAGCAGCATTCATCCATGGTCAGTAGCCAAAAACCTCCCAAATGGTCTTTGGGAGCAGAAAAGCCAAGCTAGGCACCCTTGGTAGGAAATTCTTGAGCTTGGGAAGAGTAATTGAGAAATCAATTTATTTTTTTTCCTCAACCAACATGTCTGAGATGCTTGCATGCTTCTGCCTCATTCTACTTTTGTGTACATTAATCACACAAACTAGCCTGCCATGGCAAAGGAAAGAGTTGGAAGCTATGCAAATATTGTGTTACATGTTGTGCCCTGCTTTATCTCTTGGGTTTGTGATCTCTCTACCAAGCTGCTGACCTTCAGGGTTTCCCCTTCCAACCTTCTTCTAGGCAAGTGATGCTATTCAAGAAGAGCCCACAGGAATTGGTCTGCGGTGCCAGCCTTATAAGTAATCGCTGGGTCCTCACAGCTGCCCATTGTATCTTCTATCCACCCTGGGATAAGAATTTCACGACAGATGACCTCCTTGTGCGGATTGGCAAACACAACCGAAAGAAGTAAGAGCTCAAAAGGGAAAATGATAAAGCAATCAAATTCAAGGAAAGCATCTAGGACACATCATTTTGCATGCTTAGAAAGAAATGCTGTGAGACATGGCATGAGTTTATCCCAAACCAATCTTATCTAGGTTTTTTGAGACTAAAGGTTGTTTTTGGTGCTCCAAAGACTGAAACATGAACCAGTGGTTTCAAATTACAATAAAAGATATTCCACCTAAACACTGGTAAAAGACACAGTTAAGAGTTGTTCAGTTGTGGAATAGTTGACCTTATAAGATGAAGAGCATGCCTTCCTTGAAGATCTTTAAACAAGAAGCTGGAAAGCAATCTCTCAGAAGGGTTTTAGTTGTATGTTCCCACATGGCAAATGGTTGGACTCAATTGCCCTTGTAGTCCTATCCAGCTCTTATGATTTTGATTCTTGTGTTAACAGTGTAACAGGTTTTAACTTTGCCATGTCAGTTCCCTGAAAAAAGGGAGATAATTTGATGAAGACTGATAGAAACAGAATCTAGAAAATATTGTCAAAGGCTGTCATGGCCAGAATCACTGGGTTGTTGTAGGTTTTTTGGGCTATATGGCCATGTTCTAGAAGCATTCTCCCTGACATTTTGCCTGCATCTATGGCAGGCATCCTCAGAAGTTGTGAAGTCTCACAACCTCTGAGGATGCCTGCCATAGATGCAGGAGAAAAGTCAGGAGAGAATGCTTCTAGAACATGGTCATATAGCCCTTACAACCTACAACCACTCAGAGTCTAGAAACACAAGACTGTATCTGTAAGCCTGAAAGAAAACCTTTCTGAAACCGAATGCTGTGCATCCTTACTAAATCCAAAAGATATCCCTCTGATTGATTGCTATATATTTTCTACTTTTCTGAGGCCAAGTATTCAAGGCCTATCACTAACTGGCCTCCGCTTTCTTATGAATGAAACTTACTGAAATATTTAGGGAACTTTTTAAAGGTCTGTTTCCTTACAAAGTGATGTCTTCTACTATTTTGGGTTGGCGTACACATGGGAAATTTGACCACTCACAAAACTGAAAGGCAAGCTGGTGAGACTGAAAAAAACGACATGCCCATAAACCTGAATATAAGACCAAAGTGGCAACTTTTACAATTGTATGCCCTTTTAAGGTTGGTTTGGGTCACTGTTTAATTGGAGATCAATGTGTTTGATAGAAAAAGAACAAGTTTTGTCTTGATACAGAATTTAATTATCACTTCTTTCTCTTGAAACCTTTCAGATATGAAATAAAAATGGAAAAAATCGTCTTGCTGGATAAAATCATCATCCATCCCAAATACAACTGGAAGGAGAATCTGGACAGGGACATTGCACTGTTACGCCTGAAGAAACCAGTTGCTTTCAGTGACTTCATACTACCAGTGTGTTTGCCCACCAAGGAGATTGTTCAAAGGTGATGAGAGAGATTTTTTTTTATCTTTTCAATAATTTGCCCTAATCAATACGTGGCTTGTAAGCTTTGTGGGAGGGACAGTCTTGATACTGCAGCAAGCAGGATCTATCCTATAAGGGTTCCCAGATTTCCAGCTTCCTAAATGCTGCTACTAATAAAGATTTGAAAAGCTGTAACTTTGGAAAAGGACAGAATCCCCTTTTGGCCTTCAACTAATTTCAGTGGAGTCCTTGGAGCTGGCAGGACTGCTGACCAAATGGTTGGCAGTTTGAACCAGGGGAGTGGGGTGAGCTCTCATCTGTCAGCTCCAGCTTCTCATGCGGGGACATGAGAGAAGCCTCCCACAGGATGGGAAAACATCCGGGTGTCCCCTGGGCAATGTCCTTGCAGACGGCCAATTCTCTCACACCAGGAGTGAGTTGCAGTTTCTCAAGTCACTCCCAATGTGAAGAAAAAAAACAACTAATTTCAGTAACATTATTTCAATAACATAAGGTTAGAGCTCTTCAGCTGTTTCCTAACAAAAAGAAAAAAGTCCAAAACAACGGGAAGAAACACAATGCAACGTCATTGAAGAATTAAGACACTTCAATGAACCAAGAACTTGATGGCAATTGCAATTTTGGGAGTCAGTCCAATTTAATCCGCTGAAATTATTTGTTGGAAGCCACAAAAGTTTGCCCAAAATACTGAAACATTTCTACAAAGCACCATATATTAATATTAACCTTCACATTAATGTAAAGTATAAATGAGAGCACTTTAATATTAGAGATCTAACATCTTCATTTAGACCCAGTTTCTTACTGATGCCCTGCCTAAATAAAAAGGTATCTGCCTATTGGCAGAAGGATGAGGGGTTGTCTAGGATAAAATTTTGGGTGGTGGTTGTTCTGTCATTAGCCAGCCTCATAGTCAGCAACTGAATTTTGAATCCAAGGGACTTCATGCCAGAACGCTCTTCAGATTACTTGAAATCAGGAAGTTTTAAGGCAACGAGCATCCTTTTAAACCCTTTCTCATTAGCAGTATGGCTGTCGCCTCACTCTATCTCCTCCTTTACATGTCTAATAATCCCTTTAGACTTTCCTTTAGCACTCTCTCGCTCTCTCTTATTGGGAAATTTATTCTCCAACATACAGAAATTCCTCCCCCAACAGGAAGAATGCAAAGCCTGTAGCTCTCACATGCAAATATTCAAGCATGCAACCATACAGAACTCAAGCCAGTCCCTTTAAAAACCCAAATAGCCTTGGCAAATGTGGCCCTGAGTTGAAAATGCTTGCGTTGGAGACTGGGCTTATTCACATTACAGCTGAAATTCTGTTAATTGGTCCACAGTCACCATAGTTGAAAGTCATATAGTGACAACCACAAGTCAGAGTCCATTTGAAGGCCCATTCACAACAAAGCGAGGGTGACTCTCTGTTAACTGGCACCCATGAGGATTGGTAGATGCCAAGTAGATGTAGTTTCTGGTTGCTTGAAAGTTACTATTAAAAATAGGCCTAATACAGTACCCCATAACATAGGTAAAGATAAAGGTTTCCCTTGACATTAAGTCTAGTTATGTCCGACTCTGGGGGGTGGTGCTCATCTCCATTTCTAAGCCAAAGAGCCGGCGTTGACCGTAGATGACTCCAAGGTCATGTGGCTGGCATGACTGCATGGAGTGCTGTTACCTTCCCACCTGCACATACTATACCACACCATAAACAATTTGCTAGATATTAATATTGAAATACAGTAATTAAAAGAAAATTAAGACAAATAGACCAAATTAAGTTTTACTGCTTTGTGAATACAGTATGCAATTCTAACTACCTTTTTGCTGGCTGCTTGCGATGTCCGGTTAACTGAGAACCTACTATATTTGCTATTTCTCACAGCTAGATTTCTATATTGTGGCACCTACCTTGTCTTCCTTCCTCTCTAACAGATGATTGCCAACCCATTTCCTAACAAGCCCCCACCCCCCAGTTCTTCCAATCACATCATATTCTCTACCAGATAATTCAGAATGTAGAGGAGACACCATTGGAAGGGGGAGGTGTCATGAGAATCTGTTGTGAAAATAGGAATATACATATTGGATCAATTTCATTGGTTTATCAAAAGGGAAAGTTAGATATTTTTCCTGCTCATGTTGAACTGCTCTGCAGTCTTCTCTATCTGGTTTTCATGTTCTGCAGCCTGTTGCTGACTGGATATAAAGGGCGTGTAACTGGATGGGGAAACCTATTTGAGACATGGACTAGTAACCCTTCAGTTTTGCCCAATGTATTACAACAAGTGAATTTGCCCATTGTGGATCGGGAAACCTGTAAGGCCTCCACCAAAATCAAAGTCACAGACAACATGTTCTGCGCAGGTAAGTTTAAGCCTTTCCTAGGTGTTCAATGTTTTCTTTGGGAGCCCCAGTGGTACAATGGGTTAAACCCTTGTGCCGGCTAGACTCCTAATCAAAAGGTCTGCGGTTCAAATCCGGGGAGCAGGGTGAGCTCCCGTCTGTCAGCTCCAGCTTCCCATTCAGGGACATCAGAGAAGCCTCCCACAGGATGGTAAAACATTCAGGCGTCCCCTGGGCAACATCCTTGCAGACGGCCAATTCTCTCACACCAGAAATGACTTTTCTGGCAGTTTCTCAAGTCAATCCTGACACACAAAAAATGCTTTATTCAAAAGGATGAAAAAGTTGCAAGTGGATAGAATATTGAACACTGAGTCATTTCAAGGAAGGATATCAAGCCACATACTGCAAAGAAAGAAGATAATAAACCAAACTGATTTAGATAATGAGTAATCAGTTTGCTGTTGAAGACTTTCATGGCTGGAATCACTGGACTGTTGTGAGTTTTCTGGGCTGTATGGCCATGTTCCAGAAGCTTTCTCCCCTGATGTTTCACCCACATCTATGGCAGGCAACATTCACAACAACTGCAACATTCACACTTGCCTCAAGCAGACAAGAGTCCCACCCTGGACATTCCATAGATACATAAACCTTACTTGCCCAGGTTACAACAGACCTCACAACGTCTGAGGATGCCTGCCATAGATGTGGGGAAAACGTCAGAGGAGAATGCTTCTGGAACATGGCCATACAGCCCAAAAAACTCAAAGTAACCCAGTAATCAGTTTCTTCAGTCTTTGAGGGAGAGATGGAGTGACCTTATTTGAGCAACTCTTGTAGCTGGAACCATTTTTGGTGTTTGCACTTTCAAATACATCTGCAAATGAATCTGTAGTTCAGAATCCTTTTAATGGACAAAAGAAAGGGAGACTTTGCAGAGCTCAGATATTTTTTCTGCTTGAGGCATCTGACAACAGGATGTGTATCCTATTTCATGAAAAAAAGTAGCTTTAACAAACTCTTAACTTCAACACTGGCAGTTAGATAACGCCCATCACCACATTGCTTATTATTACTTCCCTTTCCCCAGCATTTGCCACTTGAGGTGGCTGCCTCATCTTAGATTGACAGAACTTTTCTGTAGGTGGAGTCAGAGAGAAGATGGCCTCTTAAATAGGAGGTAGGTTCTCATTCAAGGTTCCAGCTACAGGTCCCAGTTTGCAGACACTTTAAATCTTGTGACAGCAAACATATGAAATCATACTGATGCCAAATGCCAACGGGAAAGTAGGGATCTCTTATGCTTCCTGGACTGAGAGCCTTAGCAAAGATCATGTAACAAAAACAAAGATGTGTACATCAAACCAGGTTCACTGTATAAAACACATAAAGGTGTAAAGTTATTTTTGGGGGTGGGGTAAATTTGCTGGTTTTTTTTTTATAAGAGAGGATAAGCACAGGATTCTTAAAATTATTGGAATCGGATTACTGAAAGCTGCAAAAAGAATCAAGAAAAGAAAACAAGGAAGACGGTGAATCCATTTCGAGTCAGCAACTGCTGGTAACCCTTTTGCTCTTTTTAGGGTACAGTCCTGAAGATTCCAAGAGGGGAGATGCCTGTGAGGGTGACAGCGGGGGCCCTTTTGTCATGAAGGTAGGGGCAATGGCTAGAGCAGTCTAATAGACACAGAAAAAATCCTAAAGAGTAACAGTAACATTGCCAATTCTGCTCTGAGCGGGAGCCTGGGCCAAATGACATTCAGCTATAGCAGGCATGGGCAAACTTCGGTCCTCCAGGTGTTTTGGACTTCAACTCCCACAATTCCATACAGTCTACCAGCTTTTAGGAATTGTGGGAGTTGAAGTCCAAAATACCTGGAGGGCCAAAGTTTTCCCATGCCTGTTAAACAAGGACATAAAACCCAGACAGCCTTCCTTCCCCTATGTTCTGGTTTTATTCATTGATTCTAATTGTTCCTGAGATTGAAATAGGCATCTTCCACAATATTATTTTAAGAAACTCATGGTCTCAGCATATGCCATTCTGTAGCTAATACCACCCTCTTGATTTATTCTAATGACCTTGTGGTCAACACAGCCCTATTACTATTTATCCCATGAATGTTTTCTATATTTATTGCCATATGTTGACTCTCTTCTTGGTATTTTTGCTATCTTCCCCATCTCTATCCTTTCAGCATCCAACACTCGAGCGATGGTATCAGGTTGGTATAGTCTCCTGGGGAGAAGGCTGCGATCGTGATGGCAAATATGGATTCTACACCCATGTATTCCGCTTGAGGAAATGGTTGCAAAAGACTACGGAGAGGCATGGGCTTTAAAAGGATTTCAACTTCAGCACTTTAGAGATATTGTACTGATTAACCATTACACTAACCAAAAGCCTATAAAAGGAAATGATAACTAAGCACAAACCCCAATAAAATTCTGGACCAAGTACTTATTCTCTTCTCTGAAACTGCAATATATAAACTTTGTTTATAGTAGTATAAACACTTCTGAGGTTGCCAAATAAGAAAATTAATAGATGTAAAGGTCAATTCTGAGTAGACACAAAACCACAGAATCCAGTGGAACATTAATCATGGTTACATAGAATTACAGCCTAATTATAGGAAGCTTCCTTTATTTATTTGATAACTAATGCTCTAGGAGGCCCACAAATAACCAATTAAGCAAAACTAAAGCCATACATCCAGCTGGGGATGGGGAAAAGTGGTTTTTTCTTGGACAAAGCATCAAGTTTGCCACAATCCTTTAAGTTTAATTGTTGCCTTTAAATCACTTAGGAAAGGTTATGTGCATGTGTGATATTATCCTATTTAGAAGATACTGAGCAGGCAACAACTGTATCACTACTGAATCGAGGGTTATAGTACCCTACTTTCTTATGGCATAAGGATAATGAAGATATATCAGCATGAAAAATATTTCTCACTAAATTTGACGTGATCACCATATTTCAGCATTTACAATAGCAAAACAAGGACTAGCTTGCATATACTTTGTGAGTTGGTGACAAGAAAAAATGTTTCAACTTAGTTCACATGTTACACTCCTAAAATATAGACAATTCCCAGGCCAGCGATGTGATGCAGGTCTGTGGGGATAAATAGCCAAGTGATGGTTGCAGAAGAATATGTATGCCGCCTGGGCCGAAGCTTAATTATTATGGTCCACATTTGCATTTATTTTGAAACACAACTGGTTCTGATCTTCATTCAACGCAGGTGCGGAAAAAGCAGGCCACTTGATACAGGACATGCAATTCTGTCAATTTTGAATTCAATCACAGAAGTACATCAACAGTACAACAGATTAGCTGTGACAATTTTTAAAATACTGGCTGAATAAAACTAAGGTAAAGGTAAAGGTGTCTCCTGACATTAAGTCTAGTCATGTCCGACCCTGGAGGGGTGGTGCTCATCTCCATTTTGAAGCCAAAGAGCCGCTGTTGTCCATTGACACCTCCAAGGTCATGTGGCCAGCATGACTCCAAGGAGTGCCATTATGTTCCTGCCAAGGTGGTACCTATTGATCTATTCACATTTGCATATTTTTGAACTGCTAGGTTGGCAGAAGCTGGGCCTAACAGCGGGAATTCACTCCACTCCCCGGATTCGAACCACCAACCTTTTGGTTAGCAAGTTCAACAGCTCAACAGTTTAACAACTATGCCCTTTTAGAGTAACAGTAGCATTTCTGCAAGCAAAGTGATATCCCGCATCATCCATGAGCCTCTTCTAAAGCAGCAAACATTCTACTACTGAGTGAGTGAAGCTCTAGAACACACAAGGGAAATCGGTCACGATCTAAAACTGTTGAATAAGCAACTATGTCCTTTGCTTATTGCACATACTCTGCACTTGTACAGATAAATCTCTGGCTTCCCAGCCACTGGCAAAGGAAATTCTGTTTCTTCTGGAATACCTTTCCCAGCTATAGGCGTCAAGATTCAGGAACTACAGAGAAATTTAGTAGTAAAATGTAACATTTATTCAAATGTATGGTAAAAACATTTCCATTAGCTCTAGGTTAAGCTGAAAGTGGCTTAAATAGGGCATTTCTGATACCAATACTGAAATTGCAAATATTTATCAAAACTAAAGCCACGCATCAGGCTGAGGGTGGGGAAAGTTTGTGTTTTTAGACAAAGCATCGATTTTGCCAAAAAGGCTTCACTGCATTTCCAAATCTCAGTCAAGCCACACATTTGTAAATGGTAATTGTGACTGACTGCCCTTACATTACAGCTCAATGCATTATACCAGTGTAGTGATTATGTAGCTGTAACAGCAGTGATTTCAAAACATCTAAGGGAGGACAAGACAAAATTACTATCCTAGAAGATGCAACAGAAATTCTAGATGCTGCAGCAGCTTTGGGAAATAGGCCATTAGAGGCACACAAATGCATAGCCCATATGCAAAAACAAACGAACAAGCAAAAAACCAATATTGTCACTCAGGCAATTCCCCATAATCACCTGGACTGGTGAGCTTCAATTGGGGCAATATTTGATCCACTTCAGTGCACAAACATTTTAGAAGCAAAATCCCACAGGAACATTCTCAGTCACCAGCAACAATCACTGGCCATACCTTTAGTACAAACTTCCTAGCAGCTTTTGGGCTGCCAACAGAACTGACAGATGCACAGACAAAATCAGCACGTCTAGATATTTTGGGTTCAAGCATGAATATTAATGACATGAAAAACTTTGCCTGAATATGGGATGTTGGACATCCACCTTGTTAAAGTTTCAGTACACAAAAATGATTACCAAAATTAATTCCTCAAAAGGAATATAAGTGTTTTCTACATGTTGCTGGCTAACTACATTGGATACCTTACTGTGAAGAAAGCTTACTGTGAAGATACCTTACTGTGAAGAAAGGCTTGAAAGACATTGGCTATGAAGAACAAAATGTTGTGCCTCTGTCCAAACTATTCTGGAGGCCACGGCAAAAGTAACAAAACTGGCAGGTATCAAAAGCTTCCTACATCTGGAGCATATTTGCATTTCTAGCATCTCAGGTTCCCCAGATATTCAAATGAAAGTTAATCCCTTATAAGATTTTGACAACAGCTCAAAGAACGTGTGGAAACGATAGGTCACTAGCAAGCTGGAATATGAATTGACACTCTCCTTCAACAGTCACTGTTGCTCCCACAGAGAGTTAATGCAAACTTTATTTACAAAAAGACATTTAAATTAGTTACTTCATGCCATGCGTCCGTACAGAAACAGTTCAAGGATTACATGTAGAAATTCAGAAAACTTAAAATGAATCCACTGAAAAGTTTCTAAGAGTTAAGGGAGCTAAAAAGAGATAAGACAACTCAACAAATAAAAGGTTATGAGAAACTGGACGGAGAAGGATGATAGTTGTTTACAGCTCTGTACACTAAAACTAATACACAGACAGTCTTCTACAGTAAAGAAATGCTCACAGAGAAGCAAAGTATGTACAAAGACTTGTGCCACAATGACTTGGATCCTCCTCCAAGATCTGCTGTATTATACACAGAAACCAGTTTGTATACATAAGGCCTACATGAGGCCACTTAACTATGAAGACTTCTAGTTTAGTAAACTAAAGGACAGCTCTGCAACAGCCACCCTGTCTCACGCAATTTCACTTGCGATTGCTTTTTATTCTCTCCAGTCTTTTTTTCAAGTCATCAATATTGGATGCTGCAGAGGAGGAAGTGGTTCCAATGCCAGAGGAGTGGGTCTGATTGGAGTCCAGATCCATGTGCTGGTATTGTTCCCGTGACTCACGGAGCTGAGAAAGCTTACTGTGGAGCATATCTGTGGAGGATGCAACTGTAGGGTGTGATGGCTTGGACAGCTGGGAGGTCAATGGGGCTCTGTCTTCCTGCTGTGAATGGAGACAATGTTGAAAACCACTTACTTAACCACAGAAGTTATAAATTATCAGGGTATTTTCTCTCATGTTCACTATATAAGGAAATATTCAATAAGCAAAACAGTTTTATATCTTCAGAAACAACGAGTGGATTCACCCTTCTGTCTCAGAATACAATCCAGATTATGCATATGATATATCTACCAGATCTCTGTTTACTTCACAAATAATCTTTATACATGAAGATATACATGAAGTATATCTGGAAAGAAGTCCATTCAGATAAGTAAGAAATGACCAACTGGTACACAGATGAATCTTTGAATCTACATGAAACCTGAAGCTTTGATGTATACAGGCCTACTATATCCTAACAGAGAAAACGATTTGTAATTTCAACTGTTTAATAACACTTGTGTGTCTAAATAATTCAAAGAGAACAAAATCAAGTTATAACAATCATTTCCTGACGATTTCATTTCCCCTATATTCACTTAAAACAGTCCAACAGAAGTTTGCAGAATCTGAAACATAAATCTGAATTAAGGAAACACTGACCCCTAGTTACAACTGAATCAGCCTACATCTTTAGTGAATCACCTGGATTTAATAACACTGATTACAAACAATACATACCTTCAAGACTGTACTCATTGCTCTGGGTGTGGAAACACTAATACATTTGCAAAAGATGTACGGACGTAATATTCATATCATCTAGTTATAGAACTCCATATTTCAATACAGATGATATATACAGCCCTGCCCACAATTCTTACCTAATTTTATATAAAACTCTACCCTCTGCTTAGAACCATCAGCAGTAACATGAGAGTCTACTCTTTCAAGCAGAGTTGGGAAACAAATGGCCCTCTAGATACCACCAGACTACAGTCCCCATCATCCCTTACTCATAAGGAAACTAGCTAAGGCTGATGGTAGTAGAAAACCAAAACTACCTGGAAGCTCATGTCTTTCCTATCCCTGAATTAGGAGTTTTGGTGTGATAATCCATTTTTGAAGCAACATACAAAATAGTAATAACAAAAAAGCATGCCTTTTTAATATGTCAGTTCATGAGCTAAAGAGAGGGAAAATCAATATCTGCTGCTGAAAATCCAAGGAAAGCATGGATTTCGTAGTAGGTGTTATCAGCAAACCTCGTCTACCTATTATCATGCAAATAGGGAAAGAGCACAATCCAAGTCATATCACTTGTAAGCGGTCCATCCATATTTTTATTTGACTACAGAAATTCTCTTCAGTTCCAACTGCATATTCCAAGAAAATGTGAGCAAAAGCAAGTAGTTCATAAGCAAAGATGCATAGAAACTTCCATTGCAAAAGCAGGCATGCCGTAACAAAAAAAGGACTCAGCAAAAAGGTTCTCAACCTGGAAATCTAGGTTTTGTTAGAGGTCACTAGGGCTTCCATAGGGCTTCCATGAATTTGTGATTGGAAAAAAATATTTCAACTTGGTGGGGCATGCAGTATTAGCACTTACAGTATGGACAGCGACTGAATAACCCTATGAGAAATTTCATTTGAATTATTTCAGCCACAT